TAAATTTTTATTTTCACATCTCCTAGACTTAAAAGGTAAATGCAGTCCAAATTCACCTCTACCTCTTATTTTTGCCAAAACAAAAGAAAAAAGACGGGTTCATAAAAAACCCAAATCCTCATTCCCATCTCCACGACAATCGACTCCCTAATCAATCCCTTCTCCACAATAAAACAAAAAAAACAAATTCCTCATCAATCATCAATTGAGAATATGTGGTGAAATATACTCATTTCCTATTAGCATGTTCAATCTTTTCATTAGTGATAATCAACTACATCCTGATCAGATAAAATTTCCATTTCAAAAATATTCTCTTTACCTTTCTATATAAACAAAAAGGGAAAAAAAATTTCTCATTGATCTTGCTTCGGCCGTTGTGGTGGTGCAATTACAGGTATTAAAATTTAAATGATTTTATTTCCACAGATCATTTGCTTGGCTTTTATTATTTTTTGTTTTTTCCGTTCAAGAATAGTGTTATTACTATTATTTTTATGCGGCCATCCGTTACAGCTACCATAGCCGTTGTCAGGTAATATGATCTGATTTCTTATGTAGTTAGTTAGCCTATAAGTTTTGTATGATTTTAGTCCTGTTTGGATTGAATTGATTAATTGAGTTTTTGTTACAAAGTGGGGTTTTTTAAATTTCTTTTTAATGTTTCATTCAATTAGAGTGGTTTTCTTTTTTTAATTATGGAGTCTCAGTTTTTTTTTCGTATATGGTCAGTTTCGAAAACTGTTTTTTCTTTGTTTAATTGTTTTTTATTTTGTTTCATACTCCCAGTTGATCAATTATTATTATTATTATTTTATTTTATTTACAAATAAAGCGCGTTGTTTTTTTGTGTTCGGACAAAGAATATACTTTTTAAATTTTGGTTTTTGGACATTTTTTAGTTTCTCATCATCTAAATAGTTCAGGTCGCTTCTTCTAACTAATTTATGGGGAAGCCTTTTATGAATTTGAAGCGGAGAGGGAAAAAATGATATTTCTACGTTTATTTGTATTTTATACAACATGTTTACCTACAGAAAAAAAATAAATTTCTCAATTTTAAATGGGCTATCTTTTACTTTCTTTTTTTTTTTTATTTGCCATGGTGAGGTGAGTTCTTTTTTGGTATAACTTGAAACCTATGCAAATTTACATTATTTTCATTCTCATATTTGTGATCAACCAATTTCATCAATTAACCAGCTTCAAAATTATATTTTTGATATTTTACTACTTATAAACTTTTGGAAGAAATAGTTTCAACAATTAAGCGTATACTCTTGGGAGGAAGCTTACTACAAAGCTATTATAAATCTCCAAAACTAAGTATTGATTTGGCACAACTGGAGAACATCAATAAATTATCTTACTAATATTTAAACTTATTAGGATGCTTTTATATTTTGTCTAGCATTTAATTCAAGACATATATTTGATCAAGTTTATTTATATTTAAGAAGTAACACTTATAAAACATTTCTAAAATCTTTAAACATTTCTAAAACGTACCGGGTCAAATACAATTTCTTTTTATGCCAAATATAAACTTTTTTATGATCACACATATAAAACATTTCTAAATTTTTCAAACATTTCTAAAATATATCGGGCCAAATACAAAATATTTTTTTTTAAATACAAATATTTCTAAGATATACATATATATTGGGCCAGAATCGCGCATTGCGCGACCAGACATCACTAGTAATATTAAGAAGAAAGGGAACAATATGCATGGGGCGAGTACGCAGTTGGATAAATTAAGTGAATTTTCTGTTAAGTTGAAGAAACTTTTTTGTTCAAAAAAAAAGACAAATAACTTATGAGTATATGAAAATTGAGTATGAAAATAAGAAGTTTTTTTTTTTATCAATACGTTGATTTCGAAAGGAGAGGTCGAAGAGAAGTCTTTTTTGTCACCATTTATTTCTGAAAAAAAAAATTCAAGGGAAAACTTGATTTTTAATTTAAAAGCTGGTGCAATGGTCGCAGAATAAAAATTCAACTAGATCTACTACAAATTGCAGGGAGTAAATGCATAATAGATGGATTCATTGTTGGCATGCAAGTTGCCATAGGTACGTAAGTATTGCAATTAGGCAAAATCAAATGTATGATAATAACTACATTTATAATAATTGTATAAGAGGAAGCCTTAAAAAAATGATTTAACGTTAATATATATATATAATTTTTTAAATTGGATAAATCCAGTAAAAATCGAATTCTCGACCTCCTAATAATAGTCATCCCCCATTTTAATTGCTTAACCATTCTACCCAACCCTCCCACCCCCGACCTAACGTTAAAATATATAGTATGTTATGCTTAATCACTGTATCATTTGCTACCAAAAGCTTTCTCTCATCCGTAATTAAACTTCATCATCTGCTCCCCAAAGCCTCCTCTCTCTTATTTCTTTCTCTTGAAAGGCCCAAATATAAGCCCACATGTGGTTCCACCTCAAAATCAATTGGCAATGAGGGGAGTAGCACATGAAGTATATATGTTGAGTTCAAGAGTCTTCATCTATCCATGTGGGACAATGGAACATGAGATAATTTCTTTCTTTCATTCATTTAACACGCCCCTCTCAAGCCTAATGGGCTTGGACGGGTAATTTTTTTTTTTTTTTCAGTTCTGCGATTGATTATTTTCCCGGATAAACCGTCGCCTGCCGGGCCAGTTAACGTTCAAAGTCAAACCCCGAATTTCTTCCGTGGGTTAGCCAAAGTTTCAAGACCCAATCTGGGTCAGTCCACCTCGCCCCACATGTCTCACAGGTCCGCGGATTAAAACCCGCTCTGATACCATCTTGAAAGGCCCAAATATAAGCCCACATATGGTTCCACCTCAAAACCAATTGGCAATGAGGGAAGTAACACATGAGATATATATGTTGAGTTCAAGAGTCTTCATCCATCCATATGGAACAATGAAATATGAGGTCATTTCTTTCTTTCATTCATTTAACACTTTCTCTTAACGTATTCACTCCCTTCTAATTGCTTTTAACTCTTCAAGCTTCAACACTTGAGTGTTATCTGTTTTTGTCCTTTCTTTTATTGTTTTCGAGTTTGTCTATATACCAGGAAAAGAAAAAATCCCACAAAGGGGGGAAAAAGGAAAAGGAATTTAGTGTTGGTTTGTTTTTTATCTTTTGTCTCAAGTCTCAACCAAAAAAAAAACATAGTTCGTTAAAAAAGAAAGAAAAACAAAGAAGAACCTGCTTGAAATCAAGGATTCACAAACTTGCTGACAGTGTTTCTTGGAGGTATAGCTGGCGAGTTCAGCAGCAAGGTAAGTCTTTTACACTAGAATATTTTTATTTGTCTATAAATTCATCATGTTATTTCTTTTCCGGTGCAAATTCGTACATCTGAATATATATCATGCGTGTTTGGGCAAAAAAAGCAAGATGGTACAACCGGTAATTCTAAATGAGATGTACCTGTGTAAATATATATATATATATATATATATATATATCATCACAGATGAAAGTGACGAATACTTCATCTCAAAATTTAGTAATCTAGTTGTCTAAAATTAATCGTGCAGTTTAAATTTTTATTTTTTATACAAATAATAATAATTTTAGAGAAATTTTTTATTCTATAATGCCTGTGGAATCGAGAATGCAGTAAAAAGGCTTTGCCCAGGATGAATTTTCCAGGTATTCCCCGTGTAGTCCAAGTAAATTAATCACGACTTTGTTATAAACTGAGCCCAGAAATAGAATGGATCCGGGTCAAGATCCGAATAAGGAAGAAGGACCAAAATTGAAGGTTGAGTTACAGATAGATAGAAGAGAGAAATGGGGAAAGAATCAGAATTTCATCAGATTAACCGAATGGATTCTTCCTTTTGCTATTAATGTATTTATAGTAAGTCGTTTACCCTCTAAACGACATCGTTTATATTCTAAAATGGCATATTACCTAACAGACTGCTACTACTCCCAAGGATAAATGATCAAGCCAATTCAAGAATAATACTTTTAATTAAGGGTTTCAACTGCAGAGCATCCGTATTACAAATTATGTAATTAAAAATCTATTCAAAGAATATTATTGTATTCCTTCTGTCTCCCCTCCCCCCAAAATAAATAAATAAAATAATCCACCTTGAATTTTAAAATTTGTATTAGAAATAATACTTCATCCGTCCCGAAATAATTGTCAGGTGAAAATTCAAACTAGACAATTCTTATGGAGAAAAAAGAGAGTAATGAAAATTCAATGTGTATTATTTTTTTTGGGACAGAAGTATTACAATGTAATTGCTAAGTGTTGATACTGTGTTTTCTACAGAAGTTTGGGGTAGTAAGTGTTCAACCTGAGGAGCTCTTTTCACTGATACCTTAATTGCCCACGTCGAAATGATGGGTACCTTCGACATTCACAGCACAACACAATGCAGCATGGCTTGGGAATCTTCAATCATGTTTACAACAACTTATCAGCGGGAGGCAGTTTCAGGCACCATCCTCGGAGTCTGAGAGTAGAAAATCTTGTATTTGCCCCCTGTTAATAAAGAATTTTGTTAAGGAAATAGAAGCAACAGCTGCATAAGCACATCTATTCAATAATCTAACCTAATTGAATGGCTAAACCATCAAAAGTACATTGCAGATGATAAAGTTCCAAATTCCTTTAGTTGCTACGAAAGAGCACAAGAACATTGGAAAAAGGAAGCCTGTGTGTGTAAAATTCGGCACAAAGCATCATAGTGTATTATCATCCATTTAGCATCCAAAATTAATCTAGCTCTGTTAAGACTTAACCAGCAGAAAGACCAAGCAAATAAGGAGGCATGACGGAGGGAAAAACTCATAGTTCATGACATCATGTTCCTCTAAAGATCACAACAAATAAAAATGTGAAATAACAGTTGACTGGAATAAAAAACCAGTCTCCAAGACATTTCGGCAAAGTTAACAGTAATAGTCAAGCTTGAACATAGTAAAGTCTACATGTCAAACATAGAAGGAAAGATTTCTACCTCAGTGTCTGAAGTCTTTCTTCACTGCTGCTGTTATATTCAGTCTGTACTTCCATTTGTTGAGGAAAAAGTGAGAAAAATTGTTCCAGAACCGAAGTATCCTTGGGCAGAACTTGAAACTGGCAACTCATGCAGCATTTATCTCTAATAACCTCTGCTGACAGCGTTCCGTTCTCCAAATTGCAACTTTTGACATCAGATAATTTGAGAGGAGCATTGCAGATTCGACAGAATGACTCTGGCGGAAGAGATTCATTGGGTTTCAAATTATATTTTTTCTGCCGCCTTTGAGTTGCCAATTTTGAATTTAAGTCATCCGCTTCAGGCATTCTATTGAAACGGAAAGGAGTAAGCTTTCCGGCTGTTCTGAAAATTGTGCTTTCCCGAGATGGATTTTCTGCCTGAGACAAAAAACCTAATCATCGTACGGTAGATAAACCTCTATAAAACAATTATATTATAATAAATGCACGGAATTAGTCTCAGCAATTGAATATAATTCCCACTCCGTTTGGCATTATTCTCTATCCCTAAGCAATTATGTTACAACCAGATGCACATGTACAAGATTTTGCATTTACCTGCAGTAGTTTTACAAACGAGGTAATCAAGGCATTGATGCCAGAATGGTGACCTTTGAAAGCATCTATGGTCTTCAAGCTGCATAGATAAGGTAATATTAGTACCATGCTAGTAATTCCATTCAAAGAACACACAAGATTCAAAGAGAACGATAGGAACAATCAGAGTATGACAAGGCAAGTCTGGATAGGACAGGCGGAAAGGAGAAACTTCTCTTGCACCAAAAGGAAAAAAAAAAAAAACCTAAAACACAAAAAAGACAAACAAAGAGAACGTGAAACAAATGAGTCAACAAACCTGTCAAGGTTGCATAATATGTTTAGCTCCTGAGAAAGGCAATCACGCAAGGGAAGTATCACTGGTATCTTCCACCTTGCATCTACATACTGTATATCTGCAGCCAACGAGTAACCCTGTCCCTGCCGGATGAAAGAGATTACATTAAATATGTTTTCCAAAAGCAACGACTCTCTCTTAAAGAAACTCCCTTCTAAAACACAAAACAATAAAAACACACCTTCACAGTTGCTTCAAGCACATGACAGGCAATCCTGGATGTGCAAGTTCCCAGCACAATTTTACTATATCCATAATCCTGAGCAACCTGCAAAAGAATTAAACATCAACACAATTCCACTCTCAAAAGAAAAGCACAGATACACCCAAAATATACACAGAGGCAAACCTTTTGCAAGGAGAGCATTCTCAGATACTTCACAAGATCTTCTCTCCCAGTATCATCGTGAACAGCATCCACTAGCTCCTTAAATCTCTCTCTTCCATCAATGGAATCCAAAGGAAAGATATCTTCCGTGGGAACAACGTGGAGCTTTTTCGCTGGAGGAGCTATATTTGAGACAATCAATTTCATATCTTCAATTGCTTTGTCAAATTCAAGTGTAGGTACAGCAAGACTGGAACGTTCGTCAATGAAAACAACCCCAACCCCAAATACAGGTAATGATCTATCTCTACTGGCTTCAAAATTCTTTAGCGCTTTCAGTTGCATCTCATGAACAAACTGCAGTGCAACCCTACATGATCCATAGAAAATGTCAGAGAAAAAGGTTTGATAATTTTTAAAAGCAGATAGACCCAATATCAAGTATATCAAGCTACTATAAGCATAACTACGCGTAAAGAGTTGGAACTTTCAATGATGTTTCCACTTTAGAGATATAGTCTTAACATGTCAAAATCTTCAAAGGCAAAGTTCATCCCTGTCCAGCAACACCATTCAAGTTTAACCATGATGTTGGAATTTTCCCCATGAAGCACCCAAATTTTGATACAAAGCCAAAAAAAGGAAGGACAGGAAACAGAAAACTGAAAACCTATTGCATCAAAGGATATGACTGAAAATGTAAAAGGGAAGTGCACAACTGAATAAATCATACCTAGAAGAAGTTCCACCAGAGAAAGCAACAAGGACATTGTCAGAAGGTGAAATCAAAGCATTTGAAGAGACTGCAAGCCTAAACTTTCCATAAAGATTGCTCCGGAAACAATTACCACAGAACCGACTGATGTCACTATCTGTGTTATATTCAGCCGAGGTGCTGGCCATTGATTCATTGAGCTTACACTTGACACACAGAACAGAGTTTTCTGGGTGGTTCCTTCCACTACCTGCAGAGACACTATTGAATGGCATCTCATTGGGTGCATTCGTCAATGCTAGGGACACTTCTTCTCTGTCATCGAGAATGGTGTCTTTGTAGCAACCAGACTGGCAGCAGTTCTGTGAATTGCAAGACATCGTGTTCTGTGCACTCTAGCACTACTAAGCTGCTCCAAAGAAACAAAGTCCTAGGTCTTCTTTTCTTCAGCAGTTTGTCAATTTCTTCGGCTAAAGCTATTGGCCTGTAATGATCATGCCAGAGCCAGTTGATTCAGAAGAGGAATAAACCTGAATAATAAGAAATAATTGCAAGAAAGGTCAAATATTTCAGATGCATCACTCCTACAATGCCTTAGAAATTTGCCCATTGAGATTTTTCTATGAAACTATGTCATTTAAGGACAATCTCTCAAACAATTACAAGTAACTCTTTTGGATTTATAGAATAATAAAAAGAATAAGCGTTTACACGAATACTGTTTGCTCTAGACACATCATGTACACTGCTTTGCTGGTGGTTTTAGGCTCAAACTACTGATAATCTTTAGCAAGGTGGAATTAAGGAACAATTACCACGTCTCAAAAAGTAAAAGAATGTTGTTGGCGGAAGCTTCTTACTCGGAAATAGTTCAATAAAATGCCAGCATAAAAGATCTAATTAGAGAGCATAGAAGGTAAAGAACTTCCATAGGCAGAAACTTGGCACTAAATAAAAACTAAAACAATAGTAAAATGGTTCATCCAAATAATATTTTACAACTGTGCCATGGCAGTGTCTTGGCAAAAGTAGCATTACATGGCCAACAATCCCATCGAAGTGCCTAGATCATTACCCAAAAGCTAGATAACAAGCTCTACAAATACAAGCATAGAGGCAGATTTGTTCTGTCACCAAATGTTGAGCTATTGAGATAATAGGGATATAAAACTGCATGATTGAACAATGGCCGAAAGCGTCTACACTAGAGGCAATATGTTCATGTCGTGAAAATGTTTGATTAAACATTAATCAGAGCAAAATTAAATAAATAATCACTTCTTCATAATAACTACTGAAACCCCAAATTTCCCTCACTCTTCAAGATTGAAAACACTTTCCTAATCAACAGAGAACGACGCTGTAATTTCCTGCTCTTAATTGAACTCATAAACTACCAAAAATAGCAAGCTTTCACTAATTGCGTTCATAGTACAAGTTCTAGAATAGCAATCTTACCATTAGAGGGCAGAAAAAAATTCCCCCGATTGCCTCTTGGGCGGGATTCCGGTGGAAGAAACTTTGGTAGCGGTGCGAGAAGCGCGGAGCAGCAGAAGTGAGGGCTAGACACCGTTCTGGGTTTTGGCGGAGGTTGGGGTTTAGTGGTTTTAGAATGCAAAGGACAGAATAAAAGGGGCAGTATTGTGAAGAAAAGTAAATATTAGGGATAAAATTATGGCATTAAAAAAATTGAGGCGTTGGCTTTGCGTTTACTTTTCCTTCAGTTCTCTGCAATTGATCGCTTTCCAGTTTCCAGTTCTCATTGTTACAGCGCTCACTTTTGCAAATCAAAAGCAAGAAATTCCTCATTGGGTAAGCCCTAAAACTTTCAAGTTAATTTTTCTCTGTTGATGGGTTTCTGAGTATACTGTGGAGTAAAAGATATATGAGTTAAGATGTATCATCTGGTAGGAACCCAAAAAATTAGAACTTTCTTTTCTGCTTTTTTGCTTTTTTTGGTTTCTATGCCGTGAGTACTTCTCACTGACTGGGTCATTAACTTTGGATATGTTGAATTGATCTTTGTTCTGTGATTTGGTGAGGCAATAATGATGTTTTGGGACATTGCGCAAGGGCTTTGATTTCTGGCCTTATCCTTTTTTTTTATCTGATTGGGAAGTGAAATAGCTTGGTTTTATATCCCTTCTGATTGCATTCATCAAATTTCATTTACAAAATAAAACTTTCTTACAACTCTGTCTGGCACTGGGCAAAAATAATGTCAACTTCAAAACACCCAACCATTAACAAAACTACATTGTTAGGCTCAAATTGTGGTAATCTGGGAGGTTCACCAGGTCAGTGTTGTTGTGCTTTGCAGTTAGCCACTTTGGGCATTGATTATTTCATACATTAGGTGTCAATGCTTACTTATTATTTATGGGATGGCGCTGGATATATACTGTTTAGATGCGGATGGATCCCTATTTGATGTTGCTTTGCTTTCTGCTGTTGCTGGCTTTTCGCATTGTGAGATAGTAACCATCTTCTGGTTATTGCTGATTGCCTTTGCTAATCATTTATACTTCACAGAACCCCTCATTTCTTATATAAGCATACTTTTTCTAATGTTATTGAAATTCGACTGCCTTGTAGTGCAAATCCCTGTAGTTTCTGTGAGCGACGAAAGAAGAATAGTTCTTGTTCCTGAGGGTAATGTGGGGAGGAAACTTTGAGAAGGAGCCCGTCAACAAAGAGAAGAGAAAGCTTAAATTGTGCACTTTACCATTCTTGTTAACTTGCGCGCTTCACTAGAATTACATCCTGGCTGATCCGACATCAGAGGAAGAGTCGATAATGGAGACACAATTAACTGTGGTTTTGGATTCGTCTGGTCTACTTGTGTAGCTTAACAAGCCAGGTGGATTGGTTTTTGCTCATACGTCAGTTATACAGGTTAGTTCACGTGTACATTTTTCTGTATTGATAAGCAAGCCGTGTGGTTCAATATGCGATTGTAGCTCAGAGGGATATAATTGAATATCATGATTGTGCTTGTCCATGGAAATAATATATCCCCATCTTCAGAATTTGGGGAATCCATTTGGTTTGAACCAACTTTGACATTGCTTCTGTAATTGCTTGTTTTATAAATGTTGAGGTTGGGATATGAGCTGAATGATGCTTGAACCATTGCATACAGTTAGGTCATTTTTATCATCTGTGTGTATATGAGTTCCCTGTGCTTGGTACTAGAACAACCTCCCTCTTGTCTTACTTCTCCTGTGTAAACAATTATCTCATTATTTGTAAACCTTACTTGTAACAACCATTTCTGTTAAAGAGCTTAAGAAATGGGACACTTACTAATTCTTTGGCCAAAGTAGCTGCACATTTCACTTTGTAATCTTTGTTAAATGTAGTATTATAATTTTAATCTTATAATTTTGCTACTGTTCCCCCCACAAAAAACTGCAGGTTAAAATTTTTTCTTCGATGAAGTATTTTCGTATCTATTTCTGAGTAATACATTCTAGTTTTACAACCCTTCAAATGCTGGCGTTAATTTTGATACACAATATACATGATATGCTATGATATGCTGATTGCACCGTATGCTAATTTATCATGATATGCAAGAATCAAAAACCTCCATACCTCAGCTTACAAGGTTCAATGTGATTGCAGGACTGTGTAGCCCTGGCAAGACAGAGACTAAAAGAAGTTCAATTGATCTTGAATGAAGCCATTTCTGACATGGATGTGGACTAAAATCCCAAGACGTTTTGGGACTAAATCACCTTATATTGCTTAATCATTTAGATTTGTAGTGAACTATTGGAAGCCAAAGGGAACAGTTGAAACAGGTCCAAATGGGTTTAGCCTATTCTTACTTTGTAGTATTATTATTACTATGCAGTACTATTATCTTCTTTCAAGTGAAATCTTTTCTTTAAAAGTGTATTGTTGTTACAAAGATTTGTAACGGTATTTTTGATCGAATAGATGTTTTTACTGTCGCAAAAATCAACTGAATAGCAAACTTTGTGACCATTCTTCATAATTTAACTGTAATTCTTAATTGAATGGTCTATTTGTGAGTGATTCAGAAGCTCTAAGCACGACACTAATGTAAAACTACAAACGCAGCAGCTCATTTGCTGATATGTTTTGTATATCAAGATGAGTATTGTGTCTCGCTAATTGTAATGGTATATGCTGCAAATTTTACTGAATTCCAAGTGATATCGCGGTCCATGGTGCAATAATTGGAAGAGGAGATTCCATTGCATTGGAGACGATGATTCAAGTCAAAGCCATATCGATATAGATTATACATAATCCATAATTCACTATCATAGTTATGCATCACTGCATCAGTATTCTCCTTTACTTTTCTCTGTGAGCAAATTTGGTTTTAAAGAAAAGTTCATTAATTGTTTTTCACATAAAAGTATTTTTTGAAAAAGGCCTTGTCCAGATGTCTTTTTAATATTTTGGGAAAATTTTTAGAAAGAGCATAGGAAAAATCAAAATTATTCTTAAAGGCATTAATTTTTTTAATTTTCTTTCTAAATTTTTTTAAATACAACTAATATTTGTGACAAGATAAAAGACTATTTTATCCTATTTAGGACCACATAATTTTTTTTTTTATCCCTTCTTCCTCATCAAAACAGTAACCGGCGGCTCTCTTCTCAAAAGCACGATTGAGCTTAAGTATTCTTGAATTCAACCATTTTGATCCAAATCATTTTTTGTTGTTTTCTCTATTCGGATTTTAACTTCCATGGTTTCAACTATTGAATTTTAATAGGAAAAACATGAATCCAGTGATAGCCCTAATATTCACAAAGGAGGGGGTTCCAGCTACCGAATTGATAATGAATTGGATTACAACAACTTCTTTAAAAATATATGAAATCTTGCATCAATCGACAACATCTCATAAATTAAAACATGAACGTTAAGTTGTTAGTCAAATTAAGAACTAGGATAATAATAATACTAGCTAGAGGGAATCACGAACGGTGTCAGAAAGTAAAGATGGAGGAGATGACGATGGAAAAAATATGGTAGGGAGAAAAAAGGGGAAAAATAAAAAGTTACAATGGTTAGTTGGAAAAGGGTAAATCAGTATTTTTAAATTTTAAAATATATAGAATTATTTTAATAATCATATTATAAAATAAAAAAATACTAATACCCTTAAGAATAATTTTGATCCTTGCCATGCCCTTTTTAAAAATTTTCCCTAATATTTTTGATTACTAAAATGCTTTTGTAATTTTCTTGTCCAAATGCATTTTTTTTTACAAAAATACTTTCTAAATATTTCCTCAAAAAAGAGTTTCATAAAAAGATTTTACAAAAACTTGTCCGAATGGAGCCGAAACGTCTTTCTGTATTAAGATAATCTTTAAGCAGGAACAGAGTTATTAGTAGGATCCCTAAATAACACCATATTTATAATTAGGGGTGTTTACGGTCCGGATTGGTCCGGATTGATAGTAATCCGTAACCAAACCGTTCATTAAGGTTTGAAAAATTTTCAATCCGTAATCGGACCGGATTGGTGAATAATCTGGACCAATCCAATCTGTTTTTAACGGTTTGGTTTGGGCGGATTGGCGGTTTGGACTTTTGATTGGACTCTTTCATTCTGGACAAAAAATTAAACATTTTTTTGTTGTTGGACTTTTTTGGGAGCTTTTATTGATTTTTTTTGGGCCTTTTTCAGCCTTTTTCTTGGAGACTTTTCTTGGAAAAAAAAAATTAGTCTATGGGGGATTCGAACACACGACCTTCAGCAAGGTGAAGGTCTAATGTAGAGGGAACAACAACAATGCCACTGGGACAATTTAACACTTTCGATAAAAATCTCTATCTGACGCTATATATACAAAACCAATATATTATTATTTTATAATATATATACGGTCCGGTCCGGATTGACAGACGGTTTGACAGTGCCAAACCGTAATCCGGACCGAATTGACCGGTTTTCAATTTTTCAATCTGCCGATTAAAAAATATAATTATAATCCGCCCGTTAACCTGAACCGATGACCGGATTGGGCGGTTCCACCGGTTTGAGCCAAATCGTGAACACTCCTATTTATAATAATAATAATAATCTAATCAAACATTCCTACAGATTGCGTTGCAGTCCCATCAAACATTCAAACGGGTCGATTTTCGGTTTTAACAGAATAAAAGTGGCGGGTTTTTGGGCGGTTTTGGGTTTGGGGATTTTAGTTTCGATATCCGCCCGAAACCCAAACTAATTTTACTGTATATAATATTTATAGTTATTTTTAGGGAAGTATAAATAGATTTTATATTTTTTAACTAGCGTTTCACTTTTATTTGCCTCCACCTCCACCGGCCGCCTCCTTTTCTCTTCTCTGTTCTCCCTCGAAGCCATGGCCGCCGCCCTTCACCCTTACACTTGACCAGCAAAAATCATCCCCCCACTTTGACATTGCTTCTGTAATTGCTTGTTTTATAAATGGTGAGGTTGGGATATGAGCTGAATGATGCTTGAACCATTGCATACAGTTAGGTCATTTTTATCATCTATGTGTATACTCCCTCTTGTCCTACTTCCCAGTGTAACCAATTATCTCATTATTTGCAAGCCTTACTTGTAACAACCATTTCTGTTAAAGAGCTTAGGAAATGGGACGCTTACTAAATTCTTTGCCAAAGTAGCTGTACATTTCACTTCGGAATCTTTGTAAAATGTAGGATTATTAATTCCTCTCTTATAATTTTGCTACTGTTGCCCCCCTAAAAACTGCAGGTTGAAAATTTTTCTTGGACGAAGTATTTTCGGTTTCTATCTCAGTAATACATTCTAGTTTTACAGCCCTTCAAATGCCGGCGTAAATTTTGATACATAATATATATGATATGCTGATTGGTGATTGCACTGTATGCTAATTTATCATGATATGAAAGAATCAAAAACCTCCTTCCTCGAACCCTTCGCGGGTCCTCTGCTTACAAGGTTTAATGTGATTGCAGGATTGTGTAGCACTGGCAAGACAGAGACTAAAAGAAGTTCAATTGATCTTGAATGAAGCCATTTCTGACATGGATGTGGACTAAAATCCCAATACGTTTACCTTACATTGCTTAATCATTTAGATTTGTAAAACTATTGGAATTCAAAGGGAACAATTGAAACTTTCCAATGGGTTTAGCCTATTCTTACTTTGTATTATTATTACTATGAATTATTATTAGAGTAAAATGTCCAAATGGTTTCTTACATTTGTGCCTACTTGAATTTACGTTCCTAGCATTAATATTTTAATATCGTAGTTCCAAATATTATGTTTTCAAACTTTTTTAGTCTCATTTTACTGTTTCGACCACTTTTCCGTCTAACTAGAAGTTGATCGATCGTTGATCAGTCGGAATTAGGGGTATTTTTGTCTTTTCACTTAATTTGAACATCCTTTAAAATTTAAATTATTAAAATTTATTAAAAATATTAGGACAAAAGAAATCACACGCAAGGGTCAAAACTCAAAATCCCCTCTTTGATGGGCAATTTGTCATAGTATAAGAAGATATTATACTCTAAAAATCTGTTCTTTTTTTTCTTGTTAAAAAAATGATCTGAAACAAAAAAAGATCTGTTTTTGGGGGGATTTAAAGCATTTGGGTTGACCTTTTTTAATAACTTTATGTAAATACTGACTCTTGGGGAAAGGAAATAGTACTAATGGATGAAGAAGTGAATCAAAGTGAGGGTTTGAGTTGAGCTAAGATAATGTGAACTGGGGAAATAAAATGAAAGAGACAGCCATAAATTAAGGTAATAAGATTATGAAAGTGATGAGTGTAACAGACAGTATTTACTGCTCTACTGAGTCACTGTCAGAAATTTTGAGGTCTTGTTTTGAGCAAGACTTTTTATTGAACTTGATGACTGATGACCGGACCGGACCGCAAGTCTTTGCTTAGTTAGGGGAGCAATTATCCCTGTTTTGTAAGAATTGAAGAAGTTATTTCAATTCAACAAATCATGCCTTTGTTCTCTCGAAATCAAATTTCATAAAATTATATTCCCTCCATTTCAAAATATAAGTCACTCTATACTTTGCACCTAAACTAAGAAAACAATTATCTAACAATTAATTTTTGTGTTAAATATTTATTTTATCCCTCATTATTTACATTGAAACTATAAAAAAGACTAAATGAAAATAGATTGAAATCATTTATTAAGGGTAAAGTTGAAAAAATAGTTTAAAATTGAGACATAACCCATCTATATCCAGCATTTACCATTAATTCAATGAGCTTCATCAAATTTGCCATGAGTAAAGAATGATGTATGGTTAGTGGAGTAAAAAGTTAAAGGGAAAAAAAGTCGATAATGGTGGGAAGTTTTGTTAATTTAGAACCATATAAACACTTTTAAAGTTGATTTCTCTAGGTGAAATGCAATTTTTCGTATTCTATCTGCGACTTAAACTAAAAAATTTACTTAATAACATTTCTTGTTAGTCCTTCTTTTTCATAAAATCATTTGTCAACCTGACTATTAGCGAGATAGGATCAAAGTATTATTACTCTTTTTTTTTCCGTTCAAAGTATTATTACTCAATTACTCTATCCTCTTTCAAGATCAATTATGTATATCCATTTAAGGGACATGATAGCTAAGATTCAACTTCATCATTTCCTATTAAAATTTTGTGTAAATTTTCTCTACATATATATCTATTTTTTTTTAAAGAGTAATGATTGTTACAGGAAAAATTTGCAAGTGTATAGAGAATTAATTATAACCATACATAACCTTACCTCGACGATATATTCGGATCAAATATAAAAAAAAGTTCTCATTTCACGCATGGACATCCATCCTTCTGACATAAAGATGTCGATTCGATTCAAGAGGAGACAATTCTTGATTATTAAGTGTTTTATTACAATGATAAATAAAAGTCAACGTCAGTCATTCTCGCAAGTGGACTTATTTTCACTTTCTAAGGTAAAATCTAAATAGATAATCATATTCAACAAGGAAGGAGAATTTAATAATCGGACAAAAAAAGTTATCTACATACAAACACTCCATATGATATAAATGTTTATTATATTTTTTCGGTTTTGATTCATTTTATCACCTTGTTCCCAACTTATACACTATATTCTGTTTTTTCACATCAGCACTAAAAAATCCACAACTGTAAAAAAACTATTACGTGATATTTAAATAAGAACAATCCACCAATCCGTGTAACGCACATGCATAAATTAGTGAGCTACTAACCATCACTTAGTTTCATTTCTTTCTTTCATCCCGACCATAATCAGATGCTAATTTTATGCATATTCTCTCGTTGTAGCTTGACGTGATAAAGTAACCTAAATAGAAGACATTATCTTGGAAGCTTTCTGAAAGAAGTCTTCGATAAGTCTACCCACTTGGATACAGTATAGGAGTTAAATTAACAGTCAACCATCTCTCTGATCAAGTCATAATAATAATAATATTTATAATAGTAGTAGTAGCTGTAGTAGATGATCTGGCATCGATCAACGAATACTATCCTCAGGTAAGTAGATGCCACGATTAGGACTTCTTAATCATGAACTGGTTAATTGTGAGGAACTCCGAAACCACAGATCAGTTCTTCTATTAATTATTTGCCTTTGCCTTTTGATAATCAATATGATCATAATTGGAAAAGAAAAAAAAGACAACTCGTGAAATCAATCATTAGTCCTTTCCTTTGGGAAGGTTGATTGTATCATTGCACGATTCATAGCAAATATGACGCCTCTTGGAAACAAGCATGTCAAGCTTCACTCTCCATACCACATCCAATTATGCCCACTTCTTTTTTCTTTTTTTTTTTTTCTTTCATTTAATAACTATAATGTAATTGAACATATTAGATAGAAAAGTTATGTGACAAAATTGGAAAAGTAGCCATTGCATTGGTAAGGAGTGGGTACCATTTTCAGGAATTTAAAAACGGCACTAATTAATTTGTTTTCTTTTTATTTTTATTTTTTTTTTTGGTAAGAGGAATTCCTTTTTGATTCACACTGACTAGCTTCTTAGGACCTTAGAAGAGGTCATTCGATATCCACTGCCTAGATGAGTACTACTGAAAAAGATTTTCTGTCTCCAGATTCCGACCATAAATATTCGACGAAACAAACACTCAAAACTCGTCCATTTCCAAGCTATAGGTAGCCCATCAAACATGGATAGGCATCTCTTGTCTCTTCTCTTCCTTTTAGGCATCTCTGTATACGTCTCCGCCGAGGGTAAGCACCATCACCAACTAGCTAGATTAGTTCTCTATCGTTACAATAACCAACAACGTTACAAATTGTTCTGTCCAAAATCATTGTCTTATTTATAAGGTTCATCTTTAGTTCATATTGTATTAAAAATAAAAATTCAAACTGTACAATCATTTGAGGACGGAAGAATATTAATGTTTACCAGACACACATAAAATTGAAGTTTTTGTTTTACTCTCTCTGTCCAGAAAAAAAATCCCTATATTTAGTTGTCAAATTTGTATTAAAAATAGTAAAAAGTTAAAAAACTCAATATGAACTTTTTTTAGAAGTGGGACAGAGGTCCTAGGGAGCATAAATTTTCCTTCATGTCTAATAAATATATATGGCATGCTAAATTTACATATGTCTCAATGCATAATATTGATGTAAATCAGTTCTGAATGAATTATTTAATTTGTTTAATTATTTACTTTGCAGTAATTGTGAACATTGATTGTGGATCATCTGCTCCTAGTTACACCGATGACTTTTCGGTGGTCTGGACGGGGGATACGGACTACATCAGCAATGGGATGTCAAAGACTGTCCCAGCCATCAACTCGGTATCAAACGTTCTGAACACTCTAAGAGTGTTTACTAGCCGGAAAAAGAACTGTTACATCATCCCGGCTGAGCAGGGCGGCAAAGTTCTTGTCGTTGCGAGTTTTTACTACGGTAATTATGACCAGAAATCATCTCCGCCTTCTTTTGATCTTCATTTTGATGGGAACTATTGGACTACGGTCCAGACGTCGAGGACTTTGTTCGAAATTTACGAGGTAATTTATGTCGTCAAGGGAGATTCCACCAGCATTTGTCTTGCTCAAACATTACCGGGTCAATATCCCTTCATTTCTGCTCTTCAAGTCCGAAGCTTGGATCTCGACATGTATAATTCTATGGACAATGATCGTGCTTTGTCTTTGATCAAAAGGGTTGCTTATGGTGCCAACCAAACTGTCGGGTACGTACTATATCTATCATCACAGGCAATAAATTCTGATCGTTTACAATGTCAATGAGTTTTATAAAGTGAATTCTGCGTGATGCTTATGTTTCGATTGGCCCCCTTTAAATCTAATGCATGTGTGTATAGTTAGAGTTAAAAATTGACACTAACTATATAGGATAGTACTTGAAAAATCACTGTCTGTTACACTAGTTTTTTTTTTTTTTTAAGGTTAAACAATTTCATAAATAATTACTGTCTATAACACTAGTTATTAAATAATTATCACGCATTTAACTACGTATATATCCATATGGGATCACTTATAAGATTGTGTGTTCAGATATAATAATTAGAGTGAACCTCAAAACAAGTCATCAATCTTTAATATATTCTCACTCTAGATCATCAATTAAATTTATTTGTAGCACAGATTACCTTACTAAAGTTTTAATCCATTTCAGATCATTATGTTAATTTTGGCCGTTAAATAGTGACGTAAATCCATTTTTCACATGCTTTTGGGTTCAAGGGTATTTTTGTCATTTTATTATTATTTTTTTAATTTTTTAAATCTTCTAAAGTTTTTTTTTTTTATAATTCTTCTTCTTATACTTCCTAACTTGTATACACTGGTAGTACAATTCTAAATTTTAAAAATTTATTTTCCTTTTGTATTTTAACTTCTAGATTATAAAAATATTTTTTTAAAAAAAGATGAAGAAGAAAAATTCGAGTTAAAGTAAATATGAAAATTAATAATTTCAGGAGAAAAATTAGTACCTTCTACCTGAGTTTTAACAATAAAATTGGAGTGTGTTAGTACTTGCTGTATTAAAATAAGGATACAATATCTGAATACAAAAATTTTTCCACTTATAGAGTCCGGCCCTAAAATTAAGAAATCAATAAACATTAGTCACGTAGTGGAATTAATAAAGTTAAAAAAATTTACCATGTTTGTATACTAACTCGATCTGGTTTGTGCAAATTTTTTTTAAAAAAAAAAACTACTATAATTACAGATATGTTTTAGATAAATATGCCAGACTATGGAGACCTGCCGTGCCTGGAGACGGGTTAATTGCAGTGACAAATACGGAGTCCCCGAAAATTTTAACCGGTTACCCGGATTATCCACCGGAACAAGTGTTGCGAAATGCCGAGACCTTGACGAACGCGTCCAATACAATTATACTTGGGGTAACTAGTTCGCCGACTCCAATTCGCTTGTACATGAACCTGTATTTCTCCGAAGTGGCCCGCCTTAATTTCACAGACAAGAGATCTTTCACTTTGTACAAGGATGGGGAATCTTACTCCGACCCCATCTTGCCGCCCTTTGGCGGATTCAAGGAAGTTACCGTGACCGCCGACGAGGTTACATCGGACACCAAATTCTCTCTTGACCAGGATGGTGCATCCACGTTGCCACCTCTGATCAACGCTAAAGAAGTGTTCTACGTTAGCGATATATTGACCAATGGCACAAACAGAGAAGATGGTAAGTTGGTAGCCGGAAAAGTGAATACTCTTTCCGTTCCGAAATTATTATCTAATTTAAATTAAAATAAAATTTTAAACTGGATAATAATGTTAGGACAGAGACAATAATACGTCGGTAAAATATTAACTAACTTGCGGAATTTTTGAGAGAATTAATTGTTTCGCAAGCCATATTAAACCTTTTTCATTTACAAGTCTCTATCGAATTAATTACACCCTATAGACTCACTCTCAACATTTTTTTAATTACATATATACCTGGTCTTAAATTATTATTATTATTATAATAAATTACTGATTCATCAACACTTTTTTTTTTTTTCTTTTTGGAATAGTGGCTGGCTTAGCTTTGTTGCAAAAAACTTTTGATGTGCTACGAGATTGGAGTGGTGATCCGTGCCTTCCAGCACCTTATTCATGGGACTGGATTACCTGTAACAGTAATTCCACACCTCGAGTTACAGCACTGTAATTTATCCTTATCGTTATTATTATTTTTTTGAGCGATTTTTGTTTTGTAGTGACATATATATTAATGCATTGATAAGTTTGCTGAAATGATGCAGGTTCTTAAGCAGCTTTGGTTTAACAGGGCTACTTCCGGACATAAGTTCCATGGATTTTCTTCAAACCATGTGAGACTTAGCATTAACGTCAAGCACACTTTCTTATTTTATTTTAGTTTTACTGAAGAAAATGACTTCTATATATGTATATCCTTTTCGTGATGCTTTCCTTGCCTCTTACTTCCATTGGTGCCAACAGTGATTTGAATAATAACAGCCTAAGTGGACCTATCCCTGAATTTCTCGGTTCATTGCCTTACCTTAAACAATTGTAAGTACATGACAACTCTTTGCCATTTCCAAAATATTTTGTTCGTTTCAGAAAACTAGTGTACTTTCTTGAACTAAAATGTTAAAACAAAGTAACTAAATTAATTTTGTGACCGATAACATAATTTATTAGAACCACGATTGTAATGGGTTCATTTTGCACATTTGTTTTTTAATTGACAAGAAAAATACAACTTAAACAAAAAACACAACGTAAATTATATTTTGTGAAAAAAAATTATATAGACGAAAGAATGAGAAAATTTCTACTCTTTGACACACACACACACATAGAAAACACAACCTGAATACCACTAATTAGTTTTGATGTTTTGTTATTTCCAGAAATTTGGCTAATAATCAATTTAGCGGACCAATTCCAGCCTCACTTTCCAAGAAGAGCAACTTGAATCTTGTGTAAGTCCCGTCCCGGCCACAATTTCTTACCTATTTTTTTCTTCTAATTAATAATTTATATGTTTTTGGTAAACTACTTCATAATATATAAATGATAGCGAATCATGACTCTGTATATGGCTAATTACATTCTATAACTGATTGATTAATTAGGGTGACGGGCAATCCTAATTTATGTACCTCGGAAAATTCCTGTCAAAGCACACCGCCTTCGACGAATTCAGGTCCGACGTCCTCCGGAAGTCCGGCATCCGGAGGCTCTTCCAGCTCCGAGAAGAAAAGCAGCAACAAAATGTTGTTTATCATTCTGGGCACCACGATCCCAGCCTTAGTACTCATCTGTGTTGGTGTAATTTGTATTGTCGTATTCATATGTTGCAGGAAGAAACAACCAGCTGATTTGGATTCATCAAACTACAATACAGCAGGTGAGTACATTACACTAATTTGGTCCATTTGTACCCCCAAAAAAGAAATGGGAGTTACATTTGATATAAAGGTTAAATTTTTGACGGTGGAGTGATGATCATTTTGAGGAATGATTGGACATTTTTCATGTTTCACTGAAAAGTGAAAAGTATAAATTTTATTATTCTCTTGCAAGAGATAATTTCCATTAAAAATGAGACATTTCTTTTTGTTAAATCATGACCACGATAATGCATAATCATCCAAATATGAAAATTTGCGCTAAACATCCTGTTCATAATTTTGCATGCAGGACGAAATTATGGGACTAATTGGCCAGGACCAACCTACGAAGGAGCTCGGCCGTTAGGCTAGCGAACTCCGGCTCCATGAAGCACCTCATGCCAACCAGCCGGATATTGGAGAATAAAAAACGAATACTCTTCAGCGTATTTTATTCTCAAAAATAACTTCGAAAAAGTGACACATTTGTAGTCGAAATGACATAAACATATCCCTGCTTAACTTCATCTTACTATCTTAGATGGGAAAAAATATTCTAAAACTACAGCGCGAGGCGCCACCTTCTTTTATTTATTTTTAATTTTTTTGCTTGTGCTCCTCCTATTTTCTATATAGAAACCGAGAACGTGTTTTGTTTTTTTTTTTGTTATTTACTTTTTTTTTTCCCCATATCTTGTTATACCGTTATATTTGTTATTATTTGATTCCCGAGTGTAGAAGAATTCAGTTCTTTTTTTTCACTATTTTTATAACAGGGATTTTCATTTCACTACTTAATGATCTTCAAATGTATATATTGATTTGCGGACTCATTTATGTTGTTCTAGACCTTCAATTCGTTTTGTATTTCCCCTTACCCCGGGACAAAAAACCGGATAACACTGGTATGACGTCATTTATATTTTTAGATTTAAAATATATAAAATATGTGAAATCTAAAATTATGAGTATTACAATATTACTTTTTAGGTTAAAATTTAAACAAAACTTAACAATTTAAAGGTAAGGTAAGACAAAAAAAAATTAAATAAACAATTTTGTAATTTTTGTATTTAATTTAACTAATTTAAGGAAATATTTTAAGAAATAATATATTTCACATGATAATTTTGATAATTATTGATATAAGATGAAAATTTGGGTCTCAAAAAACTATAAAACTTAAATTAGGAGTCAATGCAGCAAGAAAACAAAAAAAGGGACTAAAATTAAAAAACAAAAAAGTCAATAAAATGGGAAAAAGGCAAAATCGGGGTCAACCGGTTCAGTTCGGTTCCCAGTCGAACCGTGGATTTGACCGGGTTTTGATCGGTTTGTTAATATTCAGGTTTTGAGTATAACTCCGACCGGCAATGTGGCCAGTTCCCGGTTAAACCGGTCTGACTGGCCGGTCCGATCTGAGTTTTACAACACTGACAAAGGCGGCCGGAAAATTTTTTTGAGGGGCCGGGGGTGCTCGAGCCTACCCGAGCCCCTATGTAGTTCCGCCACTGGATTCAACCATCACATTCAGAGGTTTTTTTTCCTGCACAGAGCGACACAATAGCTGTCTATACTCGTGAATGTAGAACAAGAAACGAAAAATGACCTCTAAAAACAATTACAATGTTACCAACATAAATGTTCTAGACTACATAACGTTAATCACATTATACTATTGAACTTTCTTCATTACGTATGGATGGAAAACAAGGAAAATGTTTTGTTGGACCACTTCACGACTCTGGTTAAATCTAGAGCGATTCTAAAATGCGCTTTGATGAAGTTTTTGGATGTTTTTAGTCCGCGCTGGAACATAAGGTTGTTCCATTATCGAGCACAGGGAGAAACCGGCGCAAACGTATTGGTTGGTATTGAGGTTGCGAGAAATGAGATGGAAGAATTCCAGGATCGAACCAATAAGCTAGGTTACGAATACAAACCGGAAGAGAATAACGAGGCTTTCAAGCTCCTAATGCACTGAAATGCAACCAAATTAAAGCATGACATAAATCAACATGGATCGTGAAATAGTTTCACTATCCATGAATCCCATACTGCTGTGGCTTCTTCATTTAGGCTTGTGTTTGTTCTCTCTGTATTGGCTATCTATCAATTGGAATTTGTTTAATTTTCGAGTTGTGGGGAAGAAAATGAAAGACATTTGGGGGTTCTATTACCAGCTTTGATTTTAAATATATCCGTAATTGAATTAATTTGGAAACATACGAAATCATAAGTTTCTTCACATTAAGGTAGAGGAGCTAATTTTATATCAAAATTGAAGAACAAATTGTGAGTACTGTATCTCTTACTCTTTCTTATTTCATATAAATTTGCATGTCCCTTGACAATTGACATAATCAGAGGCTTAATCTACTTTTCATAGACAAAATATAAAAACTAGAGTCACTAAACACTTGCGGCACGACATTATTCGTGCATTCCTCTTCCAACCATCATTTTCTTGGAGATCCCTTCATCCTTTCCCCCACTTGCATTTAATTTATAAGTTCTTTCACCCGTCTCATTTTCATTAAATCCATTTTGTGGTACTATGTTAGTTCAAGCTAGACTATTAAATTGAGTCAGGTAGAATAGAATTTCACCAGTAGACCATTGCTCTTAATACAAGAATTAAGTTAATTAAATCTTAATTTGATGACCCTGGCATTTTGCAATAGCTAGCTGTGATCAGGACATGATGATGCAATTATGCAAATTCAATACAAATTATCCTCTGCACGAAAACCATAGGTAGATTCCACGACTAGAGAATTTCATTCATGAACTGCTTAGCAGCCGAGGAATCAATGGCTCCCAACTGCAGCGCGATTCGTCTCATTGTTCTTTGCCTTTGCCATTTGCTAATATCATCTCATGGTAAAAAGAAAAAAAATGTAGTACTTGTGAAATCAATCTTCAGTTTTCTCTGTTTGACTTGATGGTTTTCATAATTTTCGTTTACATGAATGGGAACTAGGAAGGAATTTGCAGAGCCACATCAAACATGGTAGGAAACTTGGGCAAACAAACTCCTTCGACGGTCAGTATTTAGAACTCTTGTCTGCAAGCTCACATATCTTTCTTCCCCCTTCTCTTTCCTGAACTCATTCACTAACTTTTTCCTTTCTTTTTCTTTTTTTTTTAAAAACTCATCAGTAATCGGTTTAGTGACAATTGTACTCCAATTTCCTACCCAGCTGAGTCTAGGAACCGGCGTCGATCCTTGTCTTCCCACCCCGTTGGATTGGATCGAATGCAGCAGTGGGACATATCCTCGTGTAACAGCATTGTATGTTAGCCTCAATTTACAATAATCATCTCAGGACATTTTATTTCTAATGTACACCACATTGTTTAGAAGGCATTTGTTTTCAAAGTCGTTTTACGTAGAAATGCAAAATTTCAGGTACCTGGCCAGTCATTATCTTTCAGGATACATTCCGGATGTCAGCGTGATGGATGCTCTTGTGACAATGTAAACTATCAGTAACCAATAAACATATGTTATTGAAAATGGCAGTTTTCAAATTACAATTTCTTTTCGTTTTTATGTCAACAATGTCGTATTGCAGAGAAATGCAGCATAACTACTTAACAGGATATATTCCTAGTTTTCTGGGAAACTTGCCATATCTAGAAGAGTTGTAAGTTTGTTGCCGTATTAATGTTTTGATTTCTTTTAGAAAAAACAGCTGATTGTCTCTCCTGTTTCAGTAGTCAATTGAACTAAAAATCATCACCAATTACTCACAGAAACTTGGCAGATAATAATCTCTTCGGATACGTGCCAGCCTCAATACAGCAGAACAAGAACCTGATAACATAGTAAGCAAACTTTGTATTGTTTGTTAATTTTTTTTTAAACCAATGAAATAATGGCAACAGGGCCAGACAGTTGAGACAGTAAAATGGAATAATGAATAGCATGATGTACATAAAAACACATTACCGCTCTTCAACAAATGAACTATTAGTCTATTATAAAGAGTACTACAATTCTGTGATATCCTTGTACTATCCTCTATTCATTTTGTTCCCCCTTTGTATATGTAGCTTCTATGACAACCCTTTCTTGAACCTCCCAACACCAGCTCAGCCTCCGTCTTACTATTATAGTCCACCTTTATATGGAGGAACGCCACCAGCTACGCCTTTTTATACCTATACTCCACCTTCCTCGTATGGAGGAGGATCACCACCTCCACCTTCGTATACCTATTATAGTCCACCGTCTTTATATGGAGGAAATCCACCACCTCCGCCGCATTATACATATAGAAGTCCTTATCAATATCAAAGTACTCCAGCAAGGAAGAAGAAAGGCAGTTTGGCGGCCATAATTGGTGGCGTCGCTGGAGGGTTGATTCTGCTTGGCGCTGCTGTTGGAGTTTTTGCTGTGTTTCGGCATAAATCTAGGGTTACAGCAGCAGTTGCACAAGCTAATGCAGGTTAGCCACTTTACATTTAAACATAATCAAGACATGCATGTAATAAATTTACCTTTTTAAACTAAAAAAAATTTAATTTCTTTCAATGTATAGGAGCAAACGAGCCTCCAGAGACCACAGAATAAACAGATGCGGATGCTGCAAGCCTGAACACAAGAAGTAAACCAAAACGTACACCTAGCTAATTATTAATTGTTCATCATTCAGTCTTCCTCCTTTTTTATGTTTCTGCAGTTTCCTCCAGGTTCCTTTTGTTGGGGGATGAAAAGTAGGGGCTACAGTTGTGATAATTTTTTATTTGGTTTAGAAATCCATGACCAGTGTATTGCTTTCTTCTTAACTCAGACAGGTGGAACCAATATGATCCGCTTTTCTTTTTTTAAGATCCATCTTTCTCAGGCATTTTATTCAGTTTTAACTTCTATGCTTATTAGCTTCTCGTTTCATTCGCAATCAAATTCTGTCCATGGAATCACATCGAACGCACTCTCCTATGCATCTTATGAGATGTGAAACTCTACACTAAAGCCTAAAATTGGAAAATCCAACAACTATAATGTAGGGAAAATATGTAAGTATTCTCAGAAACTTAGCTTCCCTCCAAGAAGCCATTGTTATGACATGATCAACATGAAATCGAAGCCTCTGTCGCTAGCTACCCGCCTGTGCTTTCTTGGACTAATATTGTCGGAAAGAACTCTATTCAATATCTTCTGTGTTGGATCAGCATAAACATACTACTATTTTTATTTACAAAGACTAGAAACGTCACCAAAATTGAGTAATTCTAAGTCTTCTCCCAACTTGCATATAGTTTACAAGTTAAAATTAATAAAACAGTCCATTATATATGTCAGATGATACAAAGAATTTGGTTGCGACCCACCCATATAGCTGTCAAGAAATGAATTTGGAAATGTCAACGCCAAATTATGAATTATCATCTCTATAAAAACAATATAAGTAGATGCCTCGACTAAATGACATCTCAAATGATGGCCCGGAACTGCATTGCGATTCGTCTCTTGTTTCTTTGCCTTTGCCTTCTGCTAATATTATCTGAGGGTACAAAAAGATCAAACTTTTGAAACTAATCATTAGTGTTTTTTTTTTGGTTTTGTTTTTTGATAATTTTCATGATTGGTATACAAATGAATGGAACTAGGCAGGAATTTGCAGAGCCAGATTACACATGGTAGGAAACTTGGGGAAACAAATTACAAGGATGGTCAGTACTTAAATTCTCTTTAACCTGCAATTTTCCCTTTGTTCTTCCTCTTCTCTGGTCTGTCTCATTCACTGATGGGTTCTAATATAACCCATCAGTCCAAGGTTTACAGAAAATTATACTAGCATTTCCGATCCTGAGTCTGACTTTGGGAACCAATGATGATCCGTGTCTTCCAACCCGGTTGTCTTGGATCGAATGCAGCAGCGCGACATATCCTCGTGTGACAGCATTGTATGTTAGCTTCAATTCTAATGATCTCAGTACTTTTTATTGCTATGCAAAATCTGCATATTACGTTGCTTACAGGGCATCAGTTTTGACATTGCTCTGCATAAACTGCAAATTTCAGGGACCTTGGGAACGAGGGTCTGTTCGGATTTATCCCGGATTTCAGCATAATGGATGCTCTGGTGACAATGTAAACCATCAGTAAACATTTAATCAATCCGCTCTAAAATACTACCTCCGTCCCATATTGAGTTTTCAAATTTGTACTAAAACTAGTACAAATCTCAAAACTCAAACTGGACTATTTTTGGGACAGATGAAGTAAGAGTTATGTCGCAAAATTCAGTTCTCAAACTTTATGTCAATATTGTTTTAATGCAGAGACATGAGCAACAACGCCTTAACCGGAAACGTTCCTAGCTTTCTTGGGTTTTTGCCAAATCTTGAAGAGTTGTAAGTTCTTTTCTGCTTGTTTCTTTTCAGGCAAACTGGAGTTTTAATGGTCTAACTTTTAATTAACCTCTCTTTGTTGAATTTTGACAGAAACTTGGCGAATAATCTTCTGACCGGATACGTTCCAGCCTCAATACTACAGAACAAGAACTTGATAACAGAGTGAGCCAGATTGCCATTTCATTAACATTATTTGCCTACTTTAACTGACAAAGAAGGGCTAACTGATAAAGTGATCAATTGTGAAAAATTTTTGTCCCCTTCTGAATTTGTTTTGAAGGTTCCATTTTCTGGGGTGTTTTTAAGTGTGTTTGTCAATGCAGTTTCTCAGGGAACTATGCTCTGTACCAGCTGCCACCGCCTTCGCCTCAAATAGTTAGCAGCCCACCTTTTTATGGAGGAAGATCACCCCCTCCGCCTTTGTATACCTATTACAATCCACCTTCATCATATGCCGGAAGATCACCTCCACCGCCTCCACCTCCTTATACCTATCAAACTCCTTATTCATATCAAATTACACCAGCAAAGAAGAAGAAGAAAAGCAATTTGGCAGCCATAGTTGGTGGCGTCGCCGGAGGGTTGGTTCTGGTCGGCGCTGTTGTCGGAGTTTTTGCTGTGTTTCAGCATAAATCCAGGGTCGCAGCAGCTGTTGCACAGGCTAATGCAGGTAATGAGTCATTTCTATTAAAATAGTACTAATGTTGGTTGAACTGAAATGAAACGATCTTAATTTTTTTGGGACGGAGGAAGGAGAATATTTCTGTAATGGAGTGTCACTAAACAATGTTTTTGTGGCAATAAATCCCCTTCAGGCATGTTGCGATTACACTGTCATTGTCACGCATTACTTTTTATTATCTTAATTTGACATTGATTCAATGCAGAAGCAAACAAACCTCAAGAGACAACAGAAGCAACACCTGCAGATGCGGCAACAACAACAACGCCTAGCTAATTACTAATTGTTCATCATCATTCCACCTTCTTTCGATCCTTTTTCCATATTTTTCCAGTTTACAATTCTTGGAGATATATAGCCCTGGGTTGCTGTGATTATTACAATTCTAATTTGGTGATCATGATATAGCATATAGTTTTGCAGTTATAATGCTCAGCATGATAGAATTTCATACATATGATACCGTGCTTTCCCTTCCATCATAAATTACCTGCTAATTTTTTAAAATTTATGAAGCGAACATTAGGAAATTTGGCAGAAGATTATCGTGACACTTTCATCATCGCATTTTCTGTAACGTTCTCTGAATAATTGTTTCGAGTCCATTTTCTGCTCCCCTCAATCATGCTGAGCTTTAACTTTCTTTAATGTCAAGCTTATTTGCTTCCCTCGTTTCATTAAAATCAAATTCTATCCGTGGTATCGCATCAAAAACACGTAGTGAAACTCTCCATTTAATAACAAAAATGCCGCTCAATTAAAGCCTTAAAATGAGAATCGAACGTGGCCCACTGGTTTGGCGGTAGGGCTCTCTCGCTAGTGGTCGCGAGTTTGATTTTCACCGGGCGCGGGATAAGGTATTTAGGATGGGTTTGTGGGGAGGGGTATAATGGGTAGATTGGGTAGTAAAAAAAAAGCCTTAAAATGAACATACTACTATAAATTGAGGGAAAATATATTAGATTTAAAATTGCAAAGGAAAAATGGAGATATAAAAAGGATACTTAGCAACACTTGTTTTTTTTTTTTGGGGGAGGGTGGGTGTCCCTATTTTGAAAAACTTGGTGAGACCAAAAAAAAAAATAATAATAATAATATAATGCTCTCTCTGTTCATAAAATAGAGCAGTAAAAATAACAATTATTTTAGGACAGCAAAAGTGGTTATAATCTCAGCTTGACGACGTGCAGTCCCCAAATCCAGCTTATTAAAAGAAATTTAATTCAAAGAAACCTTAAATAACCTACGGTTTTGAACTACAGGTGGACGAACAAGTAGTCGACGGGGAGGATTTTGGCCACGAAAACATTTCCATTTCCCGTACAACATTGTCTGCGTAGTTATTCTTAATTAGCAATCCATTGGTATAATAATTAATTTAACTTGGTCAATTAGGTGCCGGTGAGAGGGTATGCTTTACTTGCCATTCAACTATCAAAATGTTCTTGAGTATTTCTATTTTTATTTTTTATTTTCATAACGTCACGAAAGTATAACATTCAAAATCCAAATCATGCAAAAACCTATTTTACTACAACCATGCCAAATAAATAAGGAAATATTTGGATTCAATTGATAATTAATGGACAAATGAGAATTCCCGCGTTAGAGTATGACATGATCACCATCAAATGGAAGCTTATGTCTTTGCAATTTCGTTGGCAATTGTCCTAAACTACTGTTTACCTTCTGAGGAATCTCAGCAAACAATATACTAATCATGTTTGCAAAGACTAGAATGTTTGCCAACTAGCACAAACAATTTGTAAGTCTTCTCCCAACTTGCATATAACTTTTAGGAAGTTTCGGAATTTCAAAGTCAATTATAATTGGAGATATGCCACCCTAGCAAAATTGCAAATGTCAACTCAAATTGTCATCATTTCCATAATGATAAAACAATAAAAGTAGATTGATTCCAAGGCCAGGACTCGCATTCTCATTCATGAACTGGTTGACTGTAAACAAATCAATGGCCCGGACGAACCGCGGAGCAATTCTTCTCTCAACTCTTTGCCTTTGCCTTCTGCTAGTATCATCAGATGGTAAGTTAAAATACACTTAATGTAGAACATATCATTCATTAATCTTTCTTTTTTGCTTGTGTATTAAAGCTTTGATCATTTTTGTGATACGCGTTTCGATGGATAATGGAAACCAGGAAGGAATCTGCAGAGCCACATTTCAAGTTTTAGTAGAGTAGTAGGCGGAACAGATTCTAGAGATGGTTAGTACTTTCTTCTTCAGCAATTTTTTTCCTTTTGTTCATACAATTCATTTTTTTTGGGTCTGGCTCACAATTTTTCATTTCATCAGTACAAGGTTTACAGACACTTATTGATCAGTTCGTAACCCTGTATCTGACTACGGGATCCGTTGACCCTTGTCTCCCAACTCCATTGTCATGGATCGAATGCAACAGCGCGACATCTCCTCGCGTTACAGCGCTGTATGTGTATATGTGTATATTCAGCTTGCTTTTTCTATTCCATATACACTATGCAGTTTTTAGCAGACATTAGTTTTATATATTTTTCAGGTACCTTGCCAGTGCGAATCTATTAGGACCAATTCCAGATTTCAGCGTAATGGATGCGCTTGAGACCATGTAAAAAAATTTTGATTTATCCATTAGTCTTTAATCAAATTATAAGAATGCTGATAGTACGAATTCAGTTCTCAAAGACTTCTTTAACATCCGAATTTTGTGATGCAGAGATATGCAGAATAACGCCTTAACCGGAAACATTCCCAGTTTTCTGGGGAACATGCCAAATCTTAAAGAGCTGTGAGTTTAGTATGATGACTTGTGTTCTTTTTGGGTAACTGCACAACTACTTTCTGTCCTGTTTCACTAGTCTGACTTTGAGCTTCGTTCTTGAAAGAAACTTGGCGAATAATATTCTCAGCGGAAACATACCATCCTCAATACTACAGAACAAGAAGCTGAAAACAGAGTGAACTCCTTTCCTTTGTGCATTTTCACCATGTTAACTATTCCCTCCGTCCCAAAATAATATTGCCCTTTTTGATACTATTTTGGAAAGAGGGAGTATGTATATCTTTACCATCTTTTGCTTACCTTTTTCACAATTTTTTTTTTTTTCTTTTGCAGTTTTTCTGGGAATTCCTTGTTACAGGTTCCAAGTAGTTCAAGTGGAGGGACAACTACAACAAGTACAACTACATACACATATGCAAGCACACCAACAAGGAAGAAGAAAAGCAATTTGGGAGCCATAATTGGTGGCGTCGCTGGAGGATTGACCCTGATCGGCGCTGCTGTTGGACTTTTCGCTATGTTCCAGCACAAAGCTAAGGTTGCTGCAGCAGTTGCACAAGCTAATGCAGGTGAGACAGCAAACTATATATCAGGCTTGTGGTTGAATGGAGACATTAACAATGAGAAACTTAAACTCCCCTTGTCACATTATCCAACTTTCCACTGTTATCTCTTACTCTCATCTCTCTTTCTTCATTGCAGAAGCTACCAAGCCCACACAGTTTTCTACAGGCGAAACGCCTTTGAATCCTGCTGCAACAACACGAAGTTAACCAAATTTGGGTCGTTGATCCACCTTCCTCTTCATTTCAATTTCCATTTTCGCAGAAGCCTCTTGTGAATAGGAAATGTGTGTGATTATTGCGAGAATTCTTTATCTAGAGTCATCAAGATTATCTGTTTAATCGATGTTGATTTTTCATAGAAGCCATCCAATTCTCAGGTGGTTTTACTGAATTGCATCATCTGATTTTGTCAGATAAGGTTTCCTACTGTACCCAAAATGATCCCATCATTTGTTCTTCTGTTTAATCAACAAAAATACAAATATACTTCCTCAAAAACAAAAAGTCTTTTTTTTTTTCCTTCACGTACTATAGCGACATCATCCCCCGACATCGACCGGCAATTCTCAGTTTCATGTGAAGAATGTCTTACATATGGCCTAAATCAGTTCGGCCAAATCCATAGATGAACTACTATTGTTCCATAATTTGGAACTCTAGAACATAAGATGGCAACATCCATTGATGAAAAGAAAAGAAAAGAAAATAAACTATATACAAATGGCATTGGGAGAATCATTCTCATGCACTTTAAACGAACAAAAGCAGTGGCTCTGCAGTACCCAGGGATGCTGCATTTGCAGGCTTTTGTTTTGGGGTGCATGAACAACAGGATCTATACATGCTTGATGTAACACCACCATTCAACTGAAAAAACAAGTAGCTTAGTTGTTCACTAAGGCCATCATATTCATTTCTCTAAAATCAGAAGCATCTAAGGATAAAATATGAATTCTTCAGATTCAAGGTCAAGGATACACATTAGTTTTGAACTGATACAACTGTGATTGAGATGGCCATAAAACAGGTTTTACAACAGGCCAACCAACTACCAAAGCTACAAGTACAGTAATCTGAAGATTTACAATGGAAACTGCACATCACTGTCTCTATAATATTGTCAATGTTGCGGTAAAGTTGGTCTTTTCTCCACCATTTCATAGTGGAGCACAAAATTTTCCTGCACAAAAACAGATGTGTTCAATGTTATGAAATTGCACTTAGTTCAGGTCAGAAGTGAAATAAAGTAGAATACTATAGAACCTTGCGGATTGTCTCCCAGGTGTTTGGGTCAAAGCAAATGTATGACCCCCTCTCGTACGCATTATTCTTCACAAAGGGATCAATGTTAGCACTAGGAACCCTAGTAAACCACAATCTAAGCTCTTTGTGATAGAACCATCCTCGATTATACCTGCAACAAGCATACATGAGAACGTCTTAAGGAAGTGCTAGTCACCAAACCACTTAGACTGATGACAAAGCACACAAAAACATACACCAGACACATGCATGAATGGAAGTATTAACAGGAAAGCCCATACAATTCATTTGCCGCATACAGCTGAGCTTCATCTTTCGGCATGCTGCAACAAAAAAAGGCCGCGAAATACGATTTTAGAATGACAATCAATAAAGTCTTTGATAAACAAGATAAAGAAAAACCAGTAATAAAATATAAATATATATATATATTATAGCTATTCATACCTGTAAAAGGTGTAGAACAATGTATCTAACTGAAATTTCGCAAAGTACGCTTGCTGCAACCAACGGAATAAATTTAAATGGAGCAAAAAGGCCAAAGCAGAAGCGAACTAGATTAGGATATAAGGATTCTCACAGTCAGTGGAGGCGGTTGTTTGGCATAATAACATTGAGGCACAGTGAACTCAGGGTCTCCTTTGGCAGGTTCATCCGACCACGGAGAAGCAAATGTCTTGTGAAGATTTTCGGTAGAGTTTAAATTCAATCCAAGAGTTGTCAAGTCAATTCCTAGGGCAAGAGATGTCAGATCAGGATCACTCATTCTTATTACACTCAATAATCCAAGCAGGCCAAACGGGTCAGGAGCAGGGCTCGCAGCTTGCATGGACTTCATTCCCTGATCTCTATATGGCTGGCTCACAGGAGACATTTGTTGCAGACGGAACTGAGATTGATTCTGGTGCTGCTGATATTGCTGGATGAGTTGATCATATGATCCTATCCCAGAAACCGAACTCTGGGAATTCAGAGGTCGCAGTCCTATGCCAGGGTGAGCACCGGTCTGGCTCAACAAAACAGCAAACTTGAGAATACTGGTGATTGGTAAAACAAATAAACCCGCCTTATAAGACACTTCTTTTCCCCTGAAGCTACCACATGCATTTAAGTCTCAAATGAACAGAAACAATATTCAATTAATCAGGCATGTTTTCTTCAAAACCACGTCCCTTGGGAGGAAATAACATATTTTGACTACAGAAGCGAACAAATCACAAACTGGATACATCTTCACTAAGCAAGAAAATTAAACAGGGAACAAAAGGTTTTTCCACAATGCAATGGGCAAAGACGTGAGAAATACAACGACGCAACACAGAAATGATCATAGAAAAGGAACCAAAAGTTAATCAGCTAAAAGTACCACTATCACAAGATACCAAACTCCTAGTTAGTCTGTGATGCCACTTATAAAAAGGTACCCTTGTTGACAAGCTTAGAATCTAATCCTAATTTCACCCAATTGTTTGTTTGCTAATGTGAACTGATTGCAGTAGTAAATATATGCAAAGCTGAACTGCTTAAGCAGAGTACTTCGGTATACCTGCTGGTGGAAGGTTGATGGCGACGAGGGAAACATATCTGATCCATGTAAGTGAAAGAGATCCTGGTTATTTAAATTAGAAAAAGAGACACCACTGCTACTCACTGAAGGTGAATGTTGTTGCTGTTGCGGACGATGTGATGAGTATGTGGCCCCTAAATTAAAACCTGATGATCTTCCCATCTGATGATGCATAACATATATGGGAAAAGATTCAAATAATCCAAATCATTGATTGCAACTTGCTAAACACGAAAGCTTTGCTCAATCCTCGGAAAAAAGAGCTCTTACAGAAAACTGTGAAGGCTGAATCATGGAAACATTGTTGTCATGTGTTTGTTCTTTCTGCTGTAGATCCATTCCATATTCAGGATTTGCACCTGCAAATCAACATAAAAAGTTTACTACTAAGAATGAAACAGTGGGAGATTTTCATCTCAATGTAAAATTTAAAAAGGCAATCACCATCTTCAAATTTTTCCAAAATGAAGAGGGAAGCAAAGGAAAATTTCCATATTATTTTCAGATATCAAAAAACACATATGAGTGTATTTCTATTTCAGTTAAATTAGGAGCATGCTTGTTAGTAGGTATGAAAATGAACAAGAAATTACACAATTACAGAAACAGGTCACCTTTTCCCCAGCTTGAGTCTCTTTAAAATCCCAACACAACAAAAAGAAAAGGGGATCAAAACTGTCCAAATCATCCAAATCAAAGAACAAACATAAAAAACATCAATTTAAAACATAGTTGAGCTTTTTGCAGTGAGCACAGGCAAAAAGGAATTCCAAAAGTGATGAAACTGAATTACGTAGTAATCAAGATCGGAAACCAGTATCTAAAGCATAGTACATTGACAAACGGGTAAAAATAGAGTAAGAAGATGGGTAGAAGCTAACATTTCAATCAGCGAAACATAGATACTCAGGCACACGGAAAACATCAACAAACTAGTTATTCAAAACATAAGGATAGCTCTGCCTTTGCAGGTAACGTCCTTCAACTAACAAGGAAAAAAAACAGATACATAGGGCACCTTTATAACCTGGTAAAGCTGGAAAATCTTCATTCTGAATGCTGAACTCCTGATTTTGCTGAACTATAGGACTAAGACCTTGTTTTCTCATTGAACCTGAAATTTGTCGGCCATCCTTTAATTAACATATAACCACAGAAAGAGTATCTAAATTAATACTTCACAATGAGTATCAGGATGAAGATTACCCAATTGTCCTTGAGGCCCTCCAGCAGAACTGGGGCGGCTAGAGAGTTGCGGGAAATCATTAATATCAAAGGGAGAAGCATCATTTGAATTCACGTCATTCAACATTCCCATAGAGTTTAAATTGTTAACTGCTTGAGCATGGTTCTGAGAAAGTGGGCCACCAGCAGAAGGGTAGGAATTGCCTAGCATAGACATCACCTGCGGAGAAGCTGAATCCAGAGACAGTCAACCATAACAAAGCTATTAAACTTACTTTATTTCCAAAGAAATGGCAGTTTCCATGCCCACAAGTACATAAACATATAAGCAAAAATAACTAAAAGTACAGTCACAAATCTGCTAAAAGAGACAAGGAGTTTACTCAAATAGAGATGAGGGGTCAACATCTACAAACAATAATTATCAGCAAGGGGGTTTATGAATATCAAGTCTCGACAAATCCTACCCAATTTTTCCTAGAGATATCTACACCAATCAGATGACTAAATAAAGGGTTGAAAAACCAAACAAAACATAAGACGAATATGAAAAGAAGGGAGTCTATACCTCCATTCAATGAAAGATCCAGAGAAGAAACAAAGAATAGTATTAACATGGAAGTTCAACTAACTATCTACGAGCAAACCAGACACAGAGGTACTACTTTTCCATGGATAGAGATACTAAATAGGCACAAAGTAGGACTTTCAAAAGTCTCAGGAAAATCTCAAACCAAAAGTTAATAAATTTCCTAATTATATTGACCATATAAAAATGAATGACAGCAATTAATCTAACAGACCAAGGCACTTTTTAGCAAACCTTGCAAAGGGCCATACTGAACAAAATAGACTAGCCATGAAATCATCACCAGGCAATTACCTTGTTGAAGAACACCACTCATTAGCCTATTTGGTCCCTGGACATTTCCGCCGTTGGAACTTAAGTTCAAGCGAGAAGTGAGACCAGGCATAGACAATCCTCCCCCAGAACTCATGCTCCTGCCCATGTTGCCCCCACTAACAATGTTGCCTACTGAGCTGCTAATCCTTGGCCCTGCATTTCCAAGCATTGGAGACACCCCCAATCCAGGAACAGCATTACGATTACCAATGGCTGCTGAAGTTGGGAGAATCCCGGGAATAGAACCACCAACACCATTCGTGCTTGTATTATATCCAGGATTTCCAACGACACTCATGCCACCCCTACTTGTCATCCCTGAATGGCCATGAGAATTGCCGTGAGATATCTGCAAGTTTAGAAAGAATATGGAATACTAATTAGGAGGAAAATATCATATGTGAAATGGAAACTTAGGAATGATCAGACTAAATGAAACATCACTCACAACGCCTTCAACATATTTTAGAGGGCAGACCTCAAGACAGGTTGTAATCAACAAAGATACAATACTCAAAAGGTAAACTATGTCCAGATCCTTCAGCCCCAAAATAGAAGGGTCTTGGTTCTTTAACAGTCAATATGCATATTTTCTTCGGTGTAGTTCTATCTTTCTACAACAATTTCTTCATGAAGTCATAACTAACCTTTCACCTTTTATTGGGTTCAAGCATCAAGTGGACTGATCCATGACACAAAAGGTGTAATAAGAACTAATCAATAATTTATACCAGGTATTATTTGAGTTAAATCAATTGCATACAGATATGTATGAAAAAATTAGATCCATTGTGTCTGCAGTAAGTCTGATGTGAATATTTTAGAGTAGGTAGATTCAGATCTGAATACATGCAATTAATGCCTTGCCATAAATCCAGACCATTCACAAGCCTATTAACAGGGTAAAACACCTATGAAATGAGGAAGATAGGCCACCTGCGACAAAGCAACTGGAAGGTTATTTGAAGTAAAGCGTCCACCAGAAAGACTGCTAGCAGATTGCTGAACCCCACTAGATGGCACGTTACTCATTGCTGCGTTTCTTGATCCAAGTGCTCCAGGAATGTTTGGAAGGTTGAAACTACCATGAATGTTGTGCAGCCCTTGAATACCCCCTGCAAACCATTTGCAAATAAAAATAAGATACCCCCAGCAAATCATTTACCAATATGAATTAAATTCAAAACAAAGTTTACAATCAAGCGAAGGACTTACCAGTGTGGTGAAAAGAGGGAGAAGCGGCTCCAGATTGAGCAGAAAAAGATGTCATAAATGAGCGTCCAGAGCTCTCGGGGAGATTTGAAGCCGACCCGTTCAAAGACGACTGTCACAATTTACAAAATCATTTAGAGAGGTGCCACCTACTCAGTAGGAAAAATAACAAGCCACGTCAAATCACGTGACCATATTTAAGTTGTCAGTCGTGACGTTTACTCTCAGGGATGGTGCAACTAATATACCATCAAATGATAGTAAGCGACAACCACAAGACCATCCACTACCCAAAAAAAGAAGGAAAAAAAAAAAGAACTAAGACTAAATATTTGAACCTTGAAAGAAAAAATATCGAAAAGGACACTCTACAGATAAGTTCCGGCAGGACTCTGCTTAAGGCACTATCTAAACTAATTAGGATGTTCCATGGTTATTCAGATTTGCAAGCATTGATGTCTCAAACTGATGATCCTAAGGTCAGAAGCAATCTAGATTCTTACAAATTCTCCATAACTTCAAAAATATTGACACAATAGCAAAGAGATATGATATAGCAACAATAAGCCTTAATCTAACTATGTGGCTTGACCAGCTAAAAGATATGGTAGACTAAGAAAATGCAAAGAGTAAGTGGACCCTACATTTTGTACTAGGTCCTCAGATTATTTACAATAACTTATTTTGCCCTTAAAGCAAGTTAAGTTAGTTCCGTGGTTCTTCTCACACAATAGGGAGAAAAGCAATACACTGGCGCACATCTTTACACCATGAAAGGATAATGTTTGCTGGGTTCAAAATGGAAATAACACGAAAATTCCATTTTCTTACAACAAACAAATGCTCCTACATGGAACCAAAATAACTATATGCTTCCTTGGAAATGAAAATTAAAATCAAGCACTAGCCATAAGTAATAAAAATTCCATTAGAAGGAACAATACATTAAGCAATCCCGACATCGCAGAAATGTCAAGAAGTCATGCATAAACTTTTCCCTCGCCGACCAGCAGCTTTGCTTTTCCTTATCTTCGTAAGGATTTCACAGGAAACTAGAAAGCCTGTCCAATGTGCAGTTACCTAAAAATCGGAAAAGAAAGATAAGATTGAAGCAGCAATAAACTGCCTGACATGTGTATGTATGCTGTATATAACAGTACATCACTCGTAAACGCCCGAAAGGCGCATAAATGGCAAGATACAATGACATAATCCAAATATAGGAAAAAGAAGAGGGCCAAGGGAAAGTAATATGTGAAGACAGTAAAGTTTCCCCCTTTTATGATTTTCAGAACTTAACAGAAGATCAGACAAGCAAGGACCAAAATATCTATTACATATTTCATAGGTTACCCAGAAAACCAAAGGAAAATTGACAACTGAACTAGTGCAAGCAAAATGAAAGCTGTCAAAAATTCAAAGTAGTTAGCTCCACAACTCAGTTGAAAAAGTTCAAAACCATTGCAAAAAACAGGTCAATCATTGTAAACTTATGCAGTCTACAGTGATTACATTGCAATAAACCACAACATCTGTAAGTTCAAAGTTTGGATGAAGAAGTTCAAAACATCAAACTAAATTACTTGCTTTTAAGAAAAACAGTTAAGAATAATGCATCCAAAAGTTACTACTCAGTATTCACAATATGAAAATGAAATCAAAATAAAATCGAAAGCCAAGCCCTTTAAAGCATTTTTAAGTTTATTTCAATTCCTTTTAACTCATGAAATACTCAAAAACAAATATCCCAAATTCCGCCAAAATATAAAGCGAAAGCTCAAATAATAACCAGAAAAAAAAAATTAAAAAAAAGAAAAAAGAAACGAAAGAAGAAACAGTATGTTACCCGTAAGAAGAAGTAAGCAGAGGAGGAACAGATCTGAATTTGAAAATTAAAAATAAAAATATAAACTGATCTGTGAGCTTTTATATTGATTGATTATGACGAGAGTGCAGAAGAAAGGGGAAGACGAAGAGAAGACAGGGTCCCGATGAAAGAGAGATATTGGGCGAAGAAAAGGCTTTTTGATACTACAAACTCTATTTCATGCCTCTTTTTATTCCCAACACGACTTCTGCCTTTTTTCCCCGAATGCGGAGCCGCTTTCTTGTGAAAGCGTTTTTTTGCTGCCGAAAAGGATTTATTGTGGTATTATTTAATTTTGTTACATCATCATAATAAAAATGGAAAATGATAAAATCTTTATTGCTGAAAATGGAAAATGTGGTTTATTCATCATAGATAATAATATCTCTCGCCAAAATTTTGTGAAACAACTTCTTCTTTTAACACCTTTATTTTTTCTATAAGAAATATTTAAGTCACATCTTTAAGCCTTTTGAAATTATATTCCCTGGTTTTTGGTCTCTATTTTATTTTTGTGAAATTTTTTAATTCAACAATCGTGTAAAATTGAGGCAAAGCAGTAGATGAATATAAATCTGTTTTTGGCGGAAAAAAAAATCCTTCCATATGCTTCCTCGGTTTGTTAAAATACATAAACAAAAATAAAATCTATTTTTTTCACATAAGATTTTTTTTTTTTTTAATAAAATGTAACCGAATCAAAACAAATGTGCGGCCGTAGCAAGATTGATTTAGCCTAACATGATCGAATCACTGTAAGTTTGACAGAAAATATTAATATAAAAATAGTACTCCCTCCGTCCCATAATTATTGTCCACTTTGCCCAAAAAATTTTGTCCCAAAATTATTGTCCAATTTGACTTTTTATGGATCAAGTTACACATTTGTCCTTAGTAAAAAACATTATCCATAAAATCTTAGTGGTTAAACAATTACTTATGTAGGGGTATATCCGGTTGTTTAAGGTAAAATATAATTAAATTTGACCAAAAATAAAATCTTTTATTTTAGTAAAACTGGACAATAATTATGGGATGGAGGGAGTACTTATTAATTTGTTAGCTGTAGATACCTAGTTAAATGAGGTATACGACGTTCGACAATCGACATTCAACAATAATGTTTCATAAAAAATAAATAGAATATCATAATAAGTGGATAATATATTAATTTATGATTCGTGATCTCATTCCTCTGTTATGTCTGCTTCAATATTAGGGGGAAAAAAACAGTATTGAGAAAAATCTTCGGACGCATGATTCAATAGCACTGAATTTTGAATGGCGCATTTAAAAGATTTAAGATCGAAAACCGTGATTAAGCTGGAAAAGGATACACTCACTATAAAATCTTACGCAAAAGAAAAGTAGAACGTAATTTAGATTTTATTACGTTGAAATCTTAAAATAGCTCCATGTCACCCAAGTTTATAAACTACCAACATAAACTTAATTTTCTGGCTGATCTCGACAATGAATTTCTCAGTTTCATATATTAATTGTATATAAATCAACACTTTGTAATTAATTTTTTAAAATATTTTCTGTGTGCCATCTTAATGTTCCTTCTTTTTTTCTCTTTAGTTAACCAAACTGTATGTTTAATTCCAAAATTATACTCCCTCCGTCTCATAATTATTGTCCACTTTGCTCAAAAAATTTTATCCCAAAATTATTGTTGAATTTGACTTTTTATGGATCAAGTTACGCATTTGTCCTTAGTAAAAAACATTATCCATAAAATCTTAGTGGTTAAACAATTACTTTTGTAGGGATATATCCGGTTGTTTAAGGTAAAATATAGTTAATTTTGATCAAAAATAAAATCTTTTATTTTAGTAAAATTGGACAATAATTATGGGACGGAGGGAGTACTATGTAGTACCGTTTTCATGTGAAAGCGTTCGCGGTCAGAAATGATAATATTTTTTGGGTAAACGAAAAGGATAATTTTCAAGTAAGAAACCGAATAAAACTCCCTTTTTCGCAGTAAATTCCTAAATCATTCAGTTGTTCAGTATTTTTATCCTTCAACATTACAGTGTATCCTTGAACATTACACAGTAGCTTCTTGAAAATAATAAACAAATTTATTTTGGAAAGTAAAAAAGAGCATATCCCTGCATATGAACATGATTATTTTGTTGTTGGTTACTCAAATTTAATAATGAGAGGAGAAATACTACCATTATCTGAGGGAATGATGTCGGTAAAAAAGGTTCATCCGTTGCTGTAATGTCATGTCTCAGGTTTGCAGCCATCAGCTTACGCACCATCGCCCAATGCCACTTCATTACATGGAATTATCCTCCGATTATAAAACTAACAAAACATTCTTTTTGGTATTTGGTAAAAAGGAATACAGAAGGTTTGATAATGGAAATGTTCCCCATGCAATAGACAAACCAAGGATGATGACACCTAGATTGTACTCTAATACTCTCTCTGTTTCAAAATTACTGTCTAGTTTTATATTTCACTTTTAGTAACATTTGAATTAGAAATGAAAACCCAAATTGGACAATAATTATAGGACGGAGGGAGTACAAAAATGGGATTGCCCCTGACCCTGAAACTTTGATGTATGTAAGCTAATGAAACTTTGATCTCTGAGTAAACTCCTTTCCCCCCAAACAGAGAATTTGATTAACAAACTAAAAGGAAGTTGCTTCTACACATATTTAAGCACATCAATATAACTAATAAAAGCACTCCATCGATTCACATTTCCAGTTCATCCGCTCAGTTTACACAAGGTTATCAAATGAGCTCAACTGCTCTAACTATGGTCTCTAGTGTTTGAGTATGCGCCCACTTGCCTGAAAATTTCACCTTTATCTGTGCAGATGGATACCAGCTTTCACGTCATATTAACTTCTGCAAACTAGTTTAAAGTTTCAACCGGTTAAGGTTGTGATGAACCCAACACTAATCCTTTCAATGCAGGCATCAATTCCTCCAAGAGCTCTTTTTTTGTTAAGATTCTATCGGATGTACAATCCTCCGCCTAAACCATCACAATGGTTGTGAACTTATGAGAATTCTTTTGCGACATATCATACAACATGCACAATGCCAGGTTGAGATAAGTAAACATGAGAACAAAATCTATGTAACAAATAAACAAAAAGCCATAAAAACTTTGTGTATGCTCTATCAGGTAAACCAATGTTTTTCCAGAAAAGACAATCAAAGTAAAATAAAAAAAAATACTCACGTCGCCGGTAGCCCCTGCCATCAATGCTAAAAGAGACACAGTTGCAGCTTGGTAATCTTGCAAGATCTTGAATGCTTCATCATCCAATTTATCCTGCAAAAGTCGATAAAACATGGTTTCTTTCAAGCAAAAGAAAAGGGAGCTCAGTGCATAGCAGCTCAAGCATGTAACCATTGACGCCTAATACAAGCAGCCTACCCTTTAATGACTACAAGATGCACTATCCAGGACTCTAAACCCATGACTCTAAGTCACTTGGTTACAGATCTTACCACTGTGCCAAGGCTTCAATTTAAAGCTAAATATAACAAAAAACACATCCATCTGCGAGGTTACTTGATACATAGGTAGTCTAAAGAGTAGATGAAAGAAGGGATCAGTGTTAACTACAAACAACCCCCCCCAAACAAAACAATGGTTTGGGTCTTGGGTGTTAACATTATGTTGAAATGTAAAAGCCTATACATTGCCTCCACACATCCTTTGCTTAGGTGGAAGGGCATAAGGACTACCACCAATAAAAGAAGTGTTCTAGAAGATAAAGTTCTACCTTCAATCGAGTGACTGCAATCGAAATGGCCCTTCCAGGAGCTTGGAGAGCTTTTCCATGGATCTATTAGACAAAGGAAATGACATAAGAGCAAAGATTCAAAATGACAACATATCCAGGTGGAGCGAGATTTTCCAAAAGCCACTTTTCAAAAACATTAAAGTCACTTACCTGCACGTAAAGTAGAGAAACCACTTTCGGAAGAATAGAAACAGGGTCAGATTCAGCAGATATTTGAGACAACAAATCCTATAAGCAAAAGAAAATCGTCACCTCAAAGATTCTGAAATTCATTCATACATAAACGAAAAGAAATGCATATGACTAGCCATGCAACTTCACCACCACTATTCAATTTCCAATCAACATATACACAATGAATTAGTATTATTCTTTAAGTTTTTAGCGCTGCATGTACATCAAAGGACATCTGAAAATGGTGAAAAAATAAAAGACTATTTTTCCCAACTTCCAGCAAATTCACCAATTTGAAGGTAATTGCAGGACCTGGAGCATTGTTCTAAAAATATGATTCCAACATTTTATATCACAGGTGAAACACCATTACTGGTTCCCAAGCCCAGGAGCAACTGGAATACCACATTCCAAATCAGACAGGGGGCACACAGTGCATATGATGTCTCCAGATTAGAAATCCAATGGAACTCCTAACCTTGAGTAGGAGAATTTTCTCAGCATATGGACATTTTTCAATTGAAGAAACTCAATGGTACTGTCAGTTATACTAAAACGGCAGGCAGGCAGGCTATACCTTGCGATATGAATGTAGAAGAGTTCGCTCCAGTTTCTTATCCAGCTTCTTCAAAACTAGCCCACTGAACATATGACAAATACAAAGCAAAAGTTAAACAAATCATCATGGTAAAAATACTCTGATGCACATAAATTGGACAGTAGTTGTTTCTCTAACCTTTCATCTACTAGTGCTCGCAGGGCAGTCATAAAAGTTTCAACCCTCTGTGGTACATAAAACCAACAGGTCAACAAATCAGGTGAATTAATTAAAAAAAATAAAGAAAAAAAACCTAATCCTACCATTCTTATGAGTTTTACAGGAGTGATAGACATGGAAGTAGAAGGACAATAACTGTTCTATATTGATCAACCAGAAAGATTGTCATCCCACCTTAGCTTCCAAGGATTCGATTACTGCAAGTGCTTTTTGAGAAAGAGGCCCAGGAAGACTTTTAGCCTACAAAAAAAAGAAAGATTAACAGGTGAGCGTCTTCAGTAAATCTTTCATCATATGAACACAATTCACTAGTAAGAATTCCACAGATGTCACAGAAACATTACAAGGGTATTTCTATCTCCTGGGCTAAGTGTAGATTCAGTCTTTTCGGAATCCTCAGCTTCAATACCATTTTTCAATTTATTGTGTGTGTCCTGCATTAGAAAGCCAAAGTTTGTAAGTTCAGAGATCATTTTACTAAGATCTTCGGAGTGTTCAAGCAGAGAACACATGTTAAGCGTATAGATGCCCAAGCTTACCAGGTCCAGCAGCAAAAAGTCCACAATTGGGGTAGCTGTAGACCGCAACAAATGTTTATGTAAAAGAACCTGGACATCAGAAGGAAACTATGATGAGGAACATGCACCTGTTGCACCAACCAAGCTATGCGCAAGATACAATTGCTTACAGATGTTGATGGGTCATCTTCGAACAGATCCAGTGCCTTCTCATACAGCTGCATGTTTAAGAAAGACTGCAAGCAGCACAAAGTAAAGATGTGTCAGCATTATTAGATTAAACAATTTCAGGAAGGGGAAAGTCCGCCATAATAATTTATCCTGCCAATGCATTAAAAAATTTGACCAAGAGGGTAATCAAAATGATGTGATAACATACACGGAAGAGGAATAATTAACCAGTCCTTAATCAGGTGCAAATGAATAAGAAAAGATCGGGCCATAAAGTAAGTTTAAAATAGTGATTACATACATCCATGGTCAAGCAGAAGGAAGAATAAACCACACAATCATTCCCCATGGTCAAGCAGAAGAAAGAATAAACCACACAATCATTCCCCAACTGCACCCTATCCTTCATAACCAGATTATTCATCCTCCTATTCATTTATATCATAAATTTCTATTTCACAGCACAAGAGGAAATGTAAAATATCTTTGGCACCACATCTTATTTCTAAATATACCAAACAATGAACTGAAAACAGCCAGAAAAACTGTTACTACCTCATCTAGTTTACGTTGCAGATTATCCATTACTCGTTTCATGCGCTGCGCATTTTGTGTGAATGCAGCCTTTCTTCTTTCCTTCAATGAATTAAGTAGCTTTGGTCTAAGATAGCTGGCCAAAGGTGCCAGGAAGGCCTCAGGATCTTCTATACCTATGCCATCCAACCAAAGTGTCCATTACAACGATAAATTATAATCATCTTCATTCAGATTAATCACGTATATTGTGTCATGCTTGCAAACCTTGTTCTTCAATATCAGGGACCATAGGCTTGATCTTTTGAATTAGCCATTCTTCTGATATACAATTAAGACTGTCCTCTTTCGTCTTGTCATTGTCTTTTTTTGCCCCTGGTCTTGAATCTGATGCATGTGAAGAAGATGCTACCTTGCTTTTCTTCTGATTTTTCTTAGACTTGGTAGGTGCTGTTTCTTGGTAATCGAGATCAACTTCTGCTGCTTCCATCTTGGAGTTCCCCATAGATTTTCCTTTTTTCTTCTTGGAACCTTTATCAGGAGCTTGTTTTCCAGAAAGCCCAAGTTTTCCAGTTTCATTTGACCCAGACAAGGCATCATTACTTGAAGCATCATTGTTGGTCTGGGAACTATCTGATAGTCCCAGGCTAGCGGATGGATCAAGGTTCAAAGTTTCTGTATCGTTCTCTAAGCGGTCAAATAGCACCTGTCAAACAAACATAGAAAGCAAAAATCTGAAACATGAGATTTATAATATAAGGAACAAGCACGAAAATCTCCAATCTTGAGCAATCATGGCTATAGTAAAAGGAATACGATAATATACATTCTCAGTAGAGGAACAGCCTACCTGGAGAAAGCCATTGCTAAACACATACGAGTCCCCCAAGATAATTGCCTTATTAGACTGCAATGAAAAACTTCGAATGAGGAAGCTAACAGAGATAGGGAGGATTGAAGGAATCAATTTGAGTCCACAATAGTAACTTCACCTTAAGCGCATTCTGAACTGATGGGCAAAGGGACAAAACCTTAGATGCATCTTGTGAACTAAAGGATGATGGCAATACAGAAAGTGCATCCACCCTGTAAATGGCCGCAATAGCAAAAACTGTTCAGAATATCATACGGCAGATCGAGAGTGTAAAATTCAAAAAAAGCATACAAAATTTTGGCCTCACCAGCTACCACGCTCAAAGGCATCCTCAGCAGAAGAATCTAACATCTCAACTATTGATGGGTGAGCAAATAGAGTATCCAGAGCTATACCCTCAGAATATCTGGACTGAAAAGCGAGCAGATTTTCTCGTTACTCAATGTCAGGGACCATATGCATTTGGCAAAGTTGAGAAGAGAAAAATTGGTAAAGACTTGAAATAACCATTACCTGAAGATATTGAACAGGCTGTGGAATTCCAAGTTTTTGAACAGCTCCATAATCAATGTATGAATTCTATGTCACCATTACAGCAAGTTAGAAGGAGCATCATATTTGGAAACACTATTGAAATGGAACATCTAAAACAGTATGACACTTTGGAAAGAAATAGTCGTGAAACTGCCAGAGCAGCGTTTTCAAGCTCAAGATATCCATCTAAACATTGTAAATTAGCTTTTATTTATCTATGGCAATAGTTGCAAGATCAAATCACTTGACAGGTCATTGGCAAATCAAACTTTGGCAGAACTTCTGTGGCAGAGATGTTCTACTTTACAAGAAGTTCAGCAAACATTATTTTAATATAAATTCAACCTTGCATTTTCAATAACAGAAGATTTCTATATAATGTTATGCTATATTGTAAAGAAAGGGCTTCTAGCAGGAATAAAATATCCAGAAACTTTTCACATAATAATTTGAGATTAAACGAAAGCATTTCTTTCTGCACCTGTGAGAAAAAAGAATCTACACACTCCTTCTGAGCCACAGCAAAAACCTGAAATTTTATTCACAGAGAGCAAATTATTCAATTTATCAAAGAGGCCCAAAAGATACTTTTATTATACATAGAAGAAACAATCTTGGCTTTTCGAGACACACAGAGTTTTGAAACATACAGTAGGTGTCCAGTGAACTCCAGCACGAAGTGAACCCAGAATCTCACCCTCCTTAACCAACCCATTAAACAATGACTGAAAAAAGGAGCCCTCAACGGCAACACCACTAGCCCCATCTGTTTCTGCCAACAAACCTTGCAACGAGTTCCACAATGCTGGTAAATTTAATGGAACAAAAACACCTCTTGCAGCACCTCGAACCATTGCGTTGACTCGCGCAACATAAGCCGGTGTGTACAACTGGCCGCCTTCAAGTCTGCCTTTGATCTACACAGCCACAAAATACAATAGTATAAATATCAAATCCATCACCAAACTCTAAACACATGGAGCAACTAGTAATATTACCAAAGTTCCAACGCGAGGCTCCAAAATGGACAGAACTAACTCTGATCCAACTTGTAACTGCGCGGCAATTTCTGCCAGCACAATTTGACTGCACTCTTGAAGTCTTTCATTGATTTCCTCGGCAACACCATCCCAATATGAATTTGTAATGATCTCGCCATTTACCAGCATCAAATTTGGATCATTGGACACTAAATGCTCAGCTTGTTTCTCAACGTGATACAAATCCACACCAGTAATATCAGCTAAATCAATCACCGAGACTCGCCCTAATTTCTTTATTTCCTCTCCTATTTCCTTCCTCAATTGCTCCTATCAATCACAATGCAATTCATCACCAAAAAAAAAAAAAAAAACACTTCGGGGAGATAATGAACACATGCAGCATACACATACGATGATTATGAAAACCGAAACGACATTAAAAAAAATCGCAAATGGGGAGAAAGGGCGATTAATTAAGTGAAGCAGAGACGTACCGGGGTGATGTATTCTTTGCCGGAAGTAGTGTGGAGGAGATCAAAGTCGATGATACCGAGCTGCTGCAGCTTCTGCACCAATTCGACGACGTTCCGTTCCGATAATCGCACGCTGGATTTAGCTTGCTGTGCGAACTCGAATTGCCGCTGCAATTCCAACAACTCTTCGTCCATTCCCTCTTCTGTCTTGTTACTGTGGCTAATCTAATTTGGAAATCGAGGAATCGGAATCAACTAGTTTGCCGCTTTTCTGATGCTGAAGAAATTGAATATCGCTGATTAAATTTTAAATGCCGTAGAAAATTACAGGGAAGAAGATCATTGAATTCAAATATCTACTCTCCAGCACCAAGGTTAACAAAGAAAGAAAGAAGGAAGGTTTAACCCGGTTTTAACCGAAATGCTTCGGGTCGCTTAACTTACATTTAGGAATTAGTCCCTCATATTATTAACATTATCTTTTTTGATCCATCAGAATCAGAAGTTCCTAACATTTCAAATCAGTGATAAAAAATCTCATCCTCATTTGATCTCCAGCAATATACTAATATTTAAAGAACAAACATCACTTTTTAATCACTCAAATTTGGCCTTCTTACAGCATGGAGCCACCAAATTGGAACATATGAACTGAAACTATAGTGTGACAATTACAAAAAAATGAATTATAGCTCTTAAAATCGCCCAAAAAATACTGTTTTTTTGTCCCCAAGCATTGGAGTCAAGTTGACGGGTAGAGCAGAGATGGCTGGATTTCTTTGCTTTTTGGACAGCACCAGATGGGGAGACTTGTGTTCAAGGAGTAACTTTGTCAAGTTTTCGGCTGAACGAATCTGAGAATCGCCGTAATTGGATTTTAGGTCGGCCTGATTTCTCAACCTTCTATTCCCCTTCTTCTTAAAGCCTTCACCTTTACCATGAAACTTGTACCAGAAAGTACGAAACTTTTCCCTCATTTTCCTTCCCCTGATCTCCTCCTCCTCATCTTGAAGCCACCCTCTTTCCCTAACATACTTCAAAGCCTTTGCCAGACCCTTCCTAACAGGTTCCTTATGGACCCCTTTCTCAGAAGATTTACCATCAGATTGCTTACTACCAGGTTCCTCAGGGTTCTCCTTCTGGGCACTAGTAGATTCAACAGGTTTTTGCGTACCAGATTCTGTGGGTTCCTTCTTGAATTTCGTAAATTGGTCTGAGACAAATAAAATTGAAACTTTATTTGCCTTATTTCTAATTCAATACAAACCATATGCTAAATTCTTCTAATTGAAAAGGTCGGTTACACCTACCTAGCCTTTCTTCAGGAGTCGCTCCTTGTGTTCCAGTATAGTGTTCATCAGGAGGGTCCACTGCGCCTAAAAAAACACCACTCAAGGTTCTTAGAATTATCAAAGAAACACAATGAAAACGTTAACGCTACACATTCACAAAGATAAGGTGGAAATTGATATCTCATAATTACCATGAACTTGATGAATTTCTGAGATATTCAACCCATTTTCGTCAGCATTTTCTTTGTATGAATCTTTCATTGCTTCTGATTCCTCTTATGCTAATTTCTTTTCAATATCTCCCTTTGAATTATCTGCGAACCGAAAAGCAGCGTCAAAAGAAAAACAAACAAACAAGAAAATCAATGAAAACGATTAACACTAAACAAATTCTCAATTACCCTCTTCAAGATTGATTGCTTCAATGAAGTCGGTGACATTGTCGTCTTTGAGAGAAAGAGGATCACTTCGGGATGATTCTTTAATCCCCATGGATTCTGCTACTGTTTTCTCATCGGCTCCCTGCTTGGATCTTGCGTACGTCATTTCGTTGCAGGCGAGGAAAATCACAATGCTTCTAAATCTAAATGTCGAAAATAATCAGGATTTTCTTCCTTCGAGATTTTCTTCTCAGGCGGATTTCACTTTCTAATTGAAATTTGTAACTGGCGATTGGTGAAGAAGATGAATTATTCAGAATGGAAGTGGAGAGAAAAAAAAACCAGAGAGCTTCGTGTGTTCTGCTGAAAGAAAGATTACTATTTCGTCAACGCCCAATCACTCTGCTTTTGACTCTCCCAGTCTGTTTTAAAAATTACACCTAACTGCTCGTAAGATTATAATTACACAATCACCCCCATTCTTTTGGATATTTCCGCATCCTAATTTTAATGGGTTGAATTGTGATTGAAAATAAATTCTTTTTTTAAAAAAATTTTCCCCAATCAAAATAGCCATTATTTTGATGGTACTTTTTTATGGTATTTTGATTTTACTTTCATGTGCATTACTCCCTCTGTCACAAAATTATTATCCAGTTTAAAATTTCACTTTTAGTACAATTTGAACTAGAAATGAAAACTCAAACTGGACAATAATTATAGGACGGAGGAAGTATAAGTTTTTCAAAGAGAGACAGAGAGAGAGTACTAAGGGCATTATAAGTAAACTTTTAGCAAGGTAGGTCTCTATTTGAGTGTACTCATTTCCGGGTGAGAGGGTTAGGTGGGATGGTTAGAGAATTAGGATGAGGGATGATTATTATTGCGAGGTCGAGGGTTCGATCCTCATCAGTGCCATCCAATTTTAAATAAAATTTTTTACCCATTTCAAAATAGAAACTGCAAAGATTAAGAAGATAAATCCTCATGTCATATGAATTTAAATGTTTCTTTATTTAAAAAAATATATATTGTAGATGGAGAACAAATCTGATATATATGACGATGTACCTTGAAGAGATCTGGGAAATTTGTCAAGTAGCTGAGATCCCATATTTCTACGGTTACCTAACTGTTCAAATAATGGATAAATTTGGAGGTTAGGCTTTGCGGTAATAATTGAACTTTCGATATTCAGAGCTCTGTTAATTTGAAGATGTCCTGCATGATGATTTCTGCGAAGCAACAATCAAGAGAGATGATTTTGAAGGTTAAACAAGTCTTTTTCTTTTCTTTCCTGAAGGCATAAAAAACAAAAATGATTTAATGCGTATTTGTAATAAGAATGCCCTTATAATAAATAATTATGTTTTCTCTCATAATGCCCTTAATAATAATTTTCCACAAAAAGGGGATATTTTTACACTGTTCTTAAACTAATAATAATTTGAGCTAATATTTTATTTTTATGTGAAATATTAATTTCATTTAAATGTTTTTAATCTTTATGTTAGGAAAAATAAAATAAATCAGAAAAATAGTGTCTTTATCGCTAAACTATATTATTAAAAAGATTATCATGCTCATATAAATACAATCATGTGTTACAACTATACAAACATTAACTTTTACAGTCGAGTTTGAATATAAATAAATATTTTTTTAAAACTCATATAATATACATTTATGATCATTAAAAGTAGTTGAGAGAAATGGAACAAAATAGAAAAAAATAAAATAAAAAAGTGATAAAGGACTATTTTGATATTTTTATATATTTTAGAGGTCATATTTAAAATTTTTACAAATTATTGGGGTATTTTTGTATTTAAATTTATTATTTTATTGAAAAACTAACGGAGATCTGTTAATTTGGACGGAAAATGGGTCAATTGAACGAAATTGGCGAAAATTTCAAACATTAAGATAAAGTTGGTTAACCGAAAATCTATTAAATATGATTGACGACGAGTGAAAAGTTTTGGGTAGGAACAATATTTTTTCCCTCGTCATGGAAAGATTGCTCTATCTAAATCTAATTGATACTTTACGACATAAGATAGTAAAACAGATGTTAGTATCTGGATGGAGTTATGTAGTTCCTTCATTAAAATTTGAGGATTTTTTTTCATAATTTAACTAAAATAATTTTTGAAGAGTGTATTAGAAAATTACGAATAAAATTTTGTCTTATATAGCATCTGAGAAATAAACTTTATTTTCTCTTTTTGGTTTTCTATTATAATAAACTATAGATGCTTTCTTTTCATATCCAAAAAAGTGTTGTGATTTTCTTTTTATATATTTTTAAATAACTATAGAAATATAAGCATTGTAAAAAGAAAAATTTGTCATGAACATAGCGAAAAATCATTTGCATAATCGGATGTCAAATTATTGAATAAAATTTTTTATTATAAAAAAATTTATAATTAGTAAAGTTTCTTATGAAAATGAGTTTACAAGATATCATACTATAAAAACACATAGTAAACGTTAATAAAATAAATAATATATTTTCTCAACAATGCATTTTGGCCCTACTATATTTTTTGTTCTAAATTTGGTACGGATCATAATTGTGAAAGTGTCAAATACATATTATTCCCTCCGGTCTTTATTAAAAGGCATTTTCATTCTGTACTAGTTTTAATCTAAAATGTCTTTTTAATTTGAAAAAAAACCTTAAACATATATTTTTACGTTTGTTATGTTCTCCCTAATTATTATAATATGTTTTTAAGATTTTTATTTCAATTAAAAATACATCTTAGGTGAAATCTAAGACGAAATCAAAATGCCTTATAATACGGACCGGAGGGAGTATTACATTTTGTAAAACGGGAGTAGAAAAAAAAAAACAGTTCTTACCATTTCTTTTGTCTTCTTATGAGTCCTAGCTATGCTATTACATAACTCCATGGGAAATGCTACTGGGGTGATGAGGTGGAGTTCAAACAAACCATACGAATCAACATAAGGTGGAGTTCAACCAAATCAAAGGTAACATAGAACCATTGTCTCCCTGAAATCCTGAGATGGTTGTAAGTGTTCCATTCCTAATATGAAACACACCAATTTCCTCATGTTTTATATCATGACCTAAGTCCTTGCTAGTAGCAAAGCCATGATTGAAATATATGCAGTTTTGGCCTTTAAAATTGGGAATACAAGACAGCGATGTGCCACAAAAACCATGGTTGGTAAAAAATATGGAATCGTTGTTTTCCAACTCAAAAATTTCTACCCAACTAAATATTCCATTGTCACGTGGGTTTCTGCAGGTTTCTGTTTTGACCAGTTTAAGAATTCTGAATTTCCATTGAAAAATGGATGTGCCTACTAATAACAAGTCACCGTTTGAAGCTTCCACCAAATAAGGGATCCATGAATCGATGTTGAATCCATGTACAATAACCTTGGGAATAAATTGACCTTCATCATTACCTCCGTAATCAAACGCAACAAGCTGACCATTCTCGTCTATGGCGTACAACAATCCGTTATGAAATATTATGTCCCAAATCTTTATAGGGATAAATGTCCAAGATGGTTGCAAGTCCGCTTTCCTTTTGAACCATAAGCCTAAAGCTTCTCCTCCTTCAGGGGAACAACCAGAAAAAATTGCACCGACCACGAAATGATTCGGACTCGTTGTAGGATTGCAAGACATAAGTACCTTCTCGAAACGAGCAGGTTTGTTGCAAGGGATTTTGATGCTGTTTCCAGTAAAAGGATTCAAAAGTTCAAGTGAATGATAAGGACAAGAGACACAGATTAACCAACCATGAGAAGAAGATAAGTTACAACCCTTACATGGTAGAGGAAATTTGAATTCGCAATTGTGCACTTTATTTTCGTTGATGTTGTATAGTTTTGCAAGCTGAAATTTGGCGCCGCCTCTTCGGACTTTTGTCTCCATTACAATCATGAATGGTGTGCGTCGTTTTGGTTTTTGATTCATAGCTACTGACTTGAACAATTTGCAAAGTGTAATTTCTTGACAAACAAACGTCGGCAGAACAAAATTGATGGAGGCTTAAAACAAAGTTTGATACTTTTATGTCGTGAGAGCGAAATCTTAATTTTCACGGACACCAAGACCAGCCATATATAAATCTCTTTATTTATAGAGATTTCCTGATCCTGATCGGCAACCATCAATTCTCGAAGCACATTGAAAGGTCTCCAGAAGATCTTTAAGATTTGCTAACATCTTTATATATGCCCAGACTTTTATAATTGCGCCCTCCACATATATACTTTCACAAGGTATCATGGATGGTTTTTGCTTTTTAGGCTCAATTTCCAATTCCTGGATCCATTATAATTAACTCTTTTTCCTTGTCATATTCAAGTTGTGACAAATATTTTAATATCGTATCTTGAGTTAACCTGCATAAATTAAAGGAAGGGGTTGCAACTATAAGGTCCTTGATTAATGAAAAAACAATGGCTACAAGAAGCATCAGGTGAAAAAGTCCTGTACTTGAACATTTTTTTTATTGATTATCCCTTCAAACTCCAGAAACTTAACAGAGGGAGCCAAATGGAAGATTCAAGAATAGTACCTCAAAGGAAAAAAACACCTTGTTGGTACTACCACTTGGTACTTACAATTTGAAAAAAATGAAAAAGAAAACAACAGCAACCTAAACGCAACGTTCCTCTTTAGATTCGGACTCAGCATTCTGGAGCCATTCCGTGAAGATTTTGCAATTCTTACAAATTAAGGAATCCTTGTTGCTCCCTGCCAGACCTCCCTCAAACCTCTTAAAGGCCATATACCCTTCCTCCTATACATCAGCATCGTACAAAGCGTTTAGAACTCAAGCGACTTCCTTTGCATCAGTACTTGAGTGCTATTTAAAAAAGAACATCTCGATTGCATGAAGCAGGCGAGAATTTTCACCCTTCAGCAGCAGCAAAATAATCACGAGATTGATTATCTAATGGAATTTAATTCTAGCTTTTGAACCTCTTTTCCTGTTGGAAAATTTCTCAACAACTTTAGTGAAAATCCATTTTTCCGTTAATAAAAAAAAGACTTGACACTATGAGAATTAATCAAGAAAACGATAAACATAAAATCTCTAAACTCTAATATGAATGTGAATATACTCCCTCCGTCCCATAATTATTGTCCAGTTTGAGATTTCACTTGTA